CCTTTGTTGCAGCTTTTCCGCTGTCGTTGCCAAGTCTTCCATGTATTTCTGCTTGTCGGCTCTAGTATTCTGCTTCACTCTCTTGTTTGCTTTTGTATGTCCAGCTTGTGCCTTGATTTTCTCTGTTCTTGTTCAGCTGTTGTTAGTTGCTATCTTCTTATTCTTCCCTTCTTCAATCCTGTCCAGAGCTTCAAGAAGGCCACAACCAGGTAGTGATCTTAAGACATTTAAGCTACTTTCCTTGTTCTCACTTCCCCTCTGAACCTTCTGAATGTTTTTAGTGATTCAAAGGTAACCGGTCTGGTCTTCTACTGAGTGATCCGATGAGACCCATTTAGTTCTCTGTGTGCATTTGTGGGGGAAAGCACATAGATTTACAAAGCTCTGATCATCCTTGTTCCCTTCTCACAGTTCATGTCGTTCCACGATATCTTCATACCTGGTGTTATCTTCCCGACTTTGATTTCAGTCTTTGAGATTTAATTAAGTAAAGTTTTTCACATATATTATCATGTTTTGGATAGCCGACGGCAGTTAATCCAGGATGAACGTTTAATCTTAATAGGGATCGATCACTTGGATCTACTAGCATCCTAGTTTAATATTCACAATAAGACGAGAACGCAATGTCTATCGCATTAAAAGTCAACACACAAACCACTAAAGTACTGAGTCGCGTTAACTACGGAGCTGTCTATTGAGTATGGCACATGTTACTATTTGAAATGATCTATGTTTTCTTGTTGCAACTAATCAAAACGGCATTTAAGCAATCTCATGTGAACACCAACACTGGGATTCATGTACATTCAACTAAATAATTTCAGACTAATACAAAACAAGTTTCCCGTATTCCATTGTATACCGGTTTCTAGATTCTAATCAACTTATAAGCACACTGGAAATTGAGTCATTTGTTCTAGAAGCTTATATGTCATCAAAGAGTGATTAAATTTATTTCAAAAAATCAACTGTAGCAAAATATGAATTATGATATTTTTTCTAGAATATTTTTCATGTCTATCAAAATACATCTTCATATTGTATAAATTACACTACATCATTGATTTAATTCTTCAACTTAAGAAGTTGATGGATCATATTCATTGTTTTGTACCAGATTAAATTCATTTGATGTTATTTGCTTATATCTTCCTATTGTTGTTTAGGACTGCAATTGATCAGTCTCTTGTTGGTATATGTATATCTTGTTCGAATTGCTTCGATATAAATTAGATTATTGCTAGATTATTTTCATTAAGATTTATCCAACTACATAGATGAAAAAGCAATTTAAACAGTTGAGATCATGATTCAATTGAAGCTAGACCACCATGGGAAACCTGGAAGCACTGGACGGCCGTTTCGTCCTATTGTGTGACTCCTCAGCAGTGCGCACCCACAGCCTCAGCCCGCTGGATTCGAACCCAGGATCGATCAGTCTCGCGTCAGGCACTTAATCATTAGACCACTGAGCTGGCCGGTATTCAACGGTGTTAATGTATAACTTCAACTAATCCACGAAATTGAGCGACACATCCACCATTGTCATCAGTGAGTTATTATCTCACAACTGACCCGGTTGAACTCCACTGGTCACTGCTTCTCACCAAAACTTCAGGAAATACGTCTTGAAGTCAGTCACTAGTGAGCATATGTTGATTAGTATCTGAAGGGGTTTTTTGGAAGCTAGCTCCAATTGACTCATGATCTCAACTGTTTGAATCACTACAATCTCCACAAAATCCCTTCAGATGAAAAAGCATTAGATTATTTACACTTTTTGACCAGATATTTATTTTTAACAAATCAAAATCAAAATTATAGTTTATGAATATACTTACTATTATGATTATTGTAAATAATACTAATATGAATCGACTTATTTATGATGTAGGTAAACATCTAATATGAATCTTAATTAAAATGACTAGTATATTCTATAGTTACTATAGTCAATAATTACCAAGTTTAATCAAGATTTTATTATTTGTTTTATGATATACAGTTTCAGGGTGTACTATCCTCATGAATAAAAGACTGAGTGATAGGCGATTTTCAATGATCTGACGCAATCGATTTACAATCATCCATGAAATCATAATATTTAGGTGACCCCCCTGCTTCTGATAATGAACTATTATAAAAAGATAAAATAATTGATCAGGAGAATAGGATGGTTTTGATTGAGATAAACCGATTGATGTTCATGATCTCAATCAAAAACTTAATAATCTCCACAACCCCTACACTGATAATTAACATGTGCTCACCAGTGACTAGTTTCGTGAGGGAATTCTCGGAGTTCTAGTGAGAAGCCGTGATCAGTGGAGCTAATCCGTGTCGGGTAGAGACAGGTATCTACCTCAGTACAATGGAAGATGGTTGCGCGATTTCGTGGATTGGTTGATGTTTGACACTAACAACATTGGATGCCGGCTCAGTCGCACAGTAGGTTAAGCGTTCGCACGCGAGACTGAAGACCCTAGGTTCGAATCCTGGGAGGCGGGATCGTGCGTGCACACTGCTGAGGAGTCACACAATAGGAAGAAAAGGCCGTCCAGTCCTTCCAGGTTTCCAACAGTGGTCTAACACCAATCGGTCCATGATCTCAATCAAAAACTTAGTGATCTCCACAACTCCTACACTGAGAATAGGATGTGTTTTTTGTTGTTGATAAAATAACATATTTACAAATAAAATAGTATTGAGAAAAATATTGAAGATCGAAAGCAATTTGAAACAAATATAACTGAAAAACATGAATTTCGTTGGTCGCTTATATCCCAATTAAATTAAGACCTGGCCATCATATTAAATTCTTTTCCATCAAATTAGTTCATCGTTGTTTTAACATCGCTAGTGTATAATATATCCTCTGGAAATAAATTTTATATGAAAATAATGTTCTACATTGGATTAAAATGTTGAGTTTTAATACTTCGTCAGAAAATGATGTTAGGAACTAATGATGTGGAGCTGATTATTTGTTGACTATGAATGGATGTAATGTGATCCCTCAAATGATTGAATGTCATTGTTAAAAATATTAACTCATTCATTTTAATATTCAGAGTAAACGCTTAATTGAAAGCAATTAGTTTAGAAACGAGGATTGTTCAGTCAGTCAAGTTCAGTAGTATGCTGAATTGTCATCTAAACACGGAGTGGTAGTTGTTTTTAAATAAGAATTCATATTTTCTAGCAGTTTTATAATTTGACACATCTATTCGATGACATACTAAAACAACATTGCTCCTTTTTCCGGATTAAACTCTCTATCACGAACACTCATTCGGATATCCACAACCTTCAGATTATGAATATATGTTAGTGTGCAATTAAACATAGTCCTGAAAGTTTTCTAGTGTTACTGTAATGAACAAGAACACCAGTTGGGATAATCGAATGTATTTGACACGAAATTACAGAGCATCTCAGTAAAATCTGAGAACCATATGGTAAATAGTTAGTTTGCAAAATATCAATCCATCGTTTCAAATTTGACTGCTCCTTCGCAAATATCAATCCATTGTCTCAGATTTCATTGTTACTGCATTTCATACCAACTGCGTTCCGTTCCAGTTCTTTCCTTGTAAATCTTCTACTGAAATACATTCTATGTCTGACCATCGTTACATACTACTTATGTGGATATAAGTAACCCACATCATGATATAGGGAGCGAAACTATAAAACGTATATCCTTACAGCTGATTTTTCAGTTATTACTCTCATTTTATTATATTTTTACGATTTATTTTAAGTGATATGATTTACGGACAAATTTCTAGGGTGATAATGTAACTATTGGATTCCATCTGGATTGATAGATTATCTCGAAATATGCCAAAAAGAGGGCAGAAACAAGATAAATAGAAATCACTATAATGAAACATTTCACCTTATTACTAGAATTTTTAAAAGTAATATCTGAAATCAAACACTTTCTAAGCAATGTACGAAACTTAACCAAGAGCATTTACCGAGACTAGATACATATACTGTTGAGCTGTAATCGTCTCAAGAGTATACTTAATAAAATTGACTTCACATTATAGGTATTGAAATGAAAATCTAATCAGTCAATATCGCTATTTTATCCGTGTAATTTTTTGTTGTTGATATTGTTCAGGATATCAAACAGATCATAAATAAATGTGAGGTCATAGGGGTCGTTCAGTGGAAGCTCCAAGTTATTTTTGAGTCGATATTCAACAGTAGTTTGTAAGTAACTGATGCTTGAATCTCCAAGCTTCACAGTTTGAGAACCAACCACAGGTGTTAGTTTCTTCCATAAAAGTACGAAACTATTTGAAGTAGCTAAATCTCAAATCATATGTATTTTAAATTGTTTTGATTTTTTTGACAGTTCAGCGGCAACTACTTGACGTTTCACAGACAAATCAAATTATTAGTTAATTTATTATTGAATGTTTTCAATCAAATGATAGGGAAAATGAATACTTGAGAAGAATGCAAAAAGCAGAAAACAACTTCTAGCACTTATATCTTTTCATTTATCAGTTCTATGGAAAGTCTCTTTCGTAAACAGTTAACTCAATTCTTCTGTCATTATCACTTCTTATCGAATAGTAAATTTATCATCCATCCATACAACACTTGAAAAACCCATGTAAATTGGTTTAGTTACATTTGCCTACTTATTAGTAGTATAAAACATAGAGTCAAAACATTTTCTAAGTAGGAGCTATAAACAGTGAATAGTAATAGGTTTTTCATGTTTTTAATATTTTATTTTTTTCAGGAAAAAATCGCCCTGATTATCTATAATTCGCTCTATTGCTTTTTCGCTCAGTAATTTATTGTTCTCTAGTTTGGGCCGAATTATTTTCGGAACCATAGACAGTAGATGAAGAGTGTTAGAAAAGACTTAAAAGGAAATCAAAATGCATATCCATCTATTATTTGATAATTACAAACAAAGAACCTCATAATTAAAAGAATACTTAGTTATTCATGCTTGTTAGTTAGTTTATTTATTGAAAACACACTTCTCCTATCTGAACTAGATTGTCGAACATCTTCGGATTGAGTAATTGAATACCACGTATTGGAAATCGGGCTGTTGAACCTTTAATCAGAAAAGCGTCAGTTTTTAATCCCACTGGAAACTAAACATTCAAAAAAGAAAAAAATGAAAGAAATTACTATAAAAGTTCAAGACTAAAATTATTAAATAATAATGACTTGCTATGCAAGTCAAAATGAATGAATCTAACAAACGTCTGACTACATGGTGAATTTTTATGCATCAATAAATTTTAGAACAGAATAATGAAAGATATAAAAAAATATGTAGCTTGACTAATTACATAGTTCATATTACCTCAGTAGACTATTTATTCATAAGGTTTTTCATGACATTTTTAAACAAACTTAATTTATTGGTTGCTTTGGCAACTTACAATTGATTAAATTTAAGAAACAACGAATTTATATCCTTATTCTATTTTTTAATGTTTAAGAGCAAATTAAAACTTTTCTTAACATACTAGGCATTTAAATATTCAGTGATGACATTAAGTTATTTATTATTAATATCATGAAAAAAAAACACAACCATTATTAATATTAAAGATTATGAAGGCGAGACTCTAATTTATGGACCAGCCAATCAGAAGCGTTTTAGAGATTTCAAGGTTACGGCGCCAACTTCAGTGCTTAAGGCTAGAGTACGATCGGTTCACAGGGAAATTTGTACGAAACGTGATAAATGAGCGGCTAGAAGAAATAAAATGGTGAGACTGTAGTTTGTGGACGAATCACTCAGGTATAAGATAATAGATTTGGGATTTTAACGCGAAAGCCTTTCATCTATTTAGGTAAATAAATTTCTGGCATTATAGCTGATGTCAGTTCGTGATGAAAACCCCATATATAATTCCTAACTAAGGTAAATTACGAAAATTATTGGAAACTGGATAATAAAAGCACTACTAACACCGGCTGTAGCCAGGTACTACAATATATACGGAAGTTTGGAGAGCGTAGAGACTCCTCCATGGGCTTGGTTATGTGCATCGTGTCGTTATACACACGTAGCATTTTGTGCACTCAACAACCGGAGTGCACATAAACAATATTGAAGCTATGTGGTCGGGGATGAAAGAGTTTTTGAGACTTTATCATGACTCCAGAGACCGACTATTCTGTAGTCATATGGATGATTTCCTCTACTGAATGCATTACGATTTTACAACTTTTGAACCTCTTTCTAACCTTGACATGTTTTCGAACCACGTATAAGAAGTGTATCCACTTTATTTCCTTGGTTTTGTATAATATATTTTTACTCTATACTGACTGTGTGCTGATTGGCTAATATTTCTCAAAGCCACATAAGATTCATTCAAAGGTCGTCCATAAATTAGAGTCTCGCCGATTATGAATTCTAAGCGCAGATCGATACTGGCTAGTAATGGAGTTCAGGACTCATATTTCGTTCTATTCAAGACTTATCAAACAATACAACAATGAATTACAAAAAATTATCCATTCACTTGAATATTTTAATATCTGAATTGATTTAACAATCAATGACTATCTGATAGTATTTAATTATAATTAGTTATTTAGAAATCAGTAAATCTTTTTTCTCGGTTGAATAGTAGATCAGTAAGAGATCTACTTTTGTTTTTAACCTTAGTAACTAGATACCAATTTAAATAATGATAATTATTGATTGAATCATTTTTGATTTTATCAGCTGTTATGTTATAATGATCAATTTAGAGCTTTAATTAATTCATATCTTTTTCATACAGTATTGATTTTCAACAGATCAATATTGATTAACAAATTGATTCATGTTTGTTTAAATAAAATTTGAAAGTTTTGAAAATTCTTATTCATTGATCTTATTTTATTTTCTTAACTGAAATGATGATTGTTACACATTTGCCGTGAACCTCATTTAAAGATATGTGAACCATTCCACAGTAAGTTGAAGTCATGGAATGAACTATTAACAACGTTGAAGCCATAGATAAGCATTTTACACTGAACTTTTTGGAATAAGAAAGATAATTTTAAACCATTGACTTATTACTCAACAGTTCACTTTTTCCTTATAATTTTAACCAAGATGTTACACAAAATATGATGTTCATTAAATGTCATCTTTGAATGATTGTTTCACGCTCAATATGTGTGAGTCCATAGGTTAAGAAGTTACGTAAGAAATATTACTACTATTAAGTAAAATAACATTGTGGAGATTAGCAGTATAGGGTTGTGGAGATTGCTGGGTTTTTGATTGAAATCATGAATCGATCAATGTTAGACTACCATTGAAAACCTGGACGCATTGGATGACTATTTCATCCTAGTATATGACTCCTGAACAGTCCGCGTCCATGACTCCGCACACGATAACCGAACACAGGACCTTCAGTCTCACGTTATTACTAAACCTCTAGACGATTTATCTAGTATTCAATGGTGTTAATGTTTAACTTCAACCAATTCACCATATTACGCGATCATCTTCGATGAGTAACTGCCTCGCCTCACACCCGACACGGGTATACTTTGATTATAATTTCGTATGCATGAAATTCTTTTGAAATAATGTAAAAAGTAATTTAGACATTGATAAATTATTTTAAATTTAAAGTATGCCTTTCAGGACTAATGTCAAATTCGACTTTTTCTGTTTTTGCCATTAACATAAATATATTTATCTATCAATAATAGTGACGAATTGACTAAAGTATTTTATTTATAGCCATTTAGTTATAGGTAAAAGGTTTTCTGAATTCATCATAATTTAAACAATCAGATAAAATTTGATGCTCTCGTGTATACAAATAACTGTTATAACCACGGAGACTTGAAATAAATATTAGCATGGAATGATATTAATTTAGAATGTTGTATAAGTTGGGAACGGATACCCCAAAAGCTCTGGTAAGGCTAAGAGTAGGAAGAGTCAGTTTTCCCTCTCGAAATGCTCTCAAATGACCACGTGGATACAATCACTAATACAGAAGACCTACCAACTGCCTTCTCGTGGCGGCAATGCTGTTTACGAAATTGAGGGGACGAAAAGCGAATGTCCGGCGATTTAACCGAGCTGGTGAACATGGAGAGTCCACCTAGGGGAGTCGGAAATTCCTGATTCCAAACCAATGGTGCACGTGGGCTCCAGTATCCTGGAGGAATGAATGGCGTATGAACCAATCGTTAGTCACCGGCTATCATGAGACTGCATCTCCTGACGTTACCCCACTGCCTTATGGATTAGACTTTCAGGTCGAAAGCTCCGGGTGTGGCCTCCTAAGAAAACCACCTGTTCCGGTTTGGGCACCCGGGCAGTATCATAGCCCACACATAAATCAAGTGACTTGTGTAGTACATATGTATTCGATGACTCTTTGTACCAATGTTTATTTGTTTAAATAAATAAAATAAATAAATAACAATTGCCTAATAACTAGAAATTAGTAACAATACTTAAACAAATTGTGTTTTTATTAATCTATGATGTTTTTGATCACAGGACCATCATTATCACCTTTGTAAAGAATCACAATAAATTTGTTGTCTCAACCAGCTTTAACATCTGTGTTCAAACAAACTCAAGCATAGATAACATTTAAACGACAAGGAAAAGCATACAGTCCGCGTAGTAAATAATAATTGTCATGTCAATAGTAAAGTGGTTGGAGCTACGATTTTTAATGAATAATGGATGATTTTAACCATATTGGATTTGTAGTACTCACTTTTTGATTTTATTCACGGGGAGAAATCTTTATGCATTTCAACTGTGTTCAGTATAGCAGAATTATACAACAATAAGTTAGTCTTTCTTTTGGTCAAATAAAAATTGCAATCAAATGTTACTCAGTTTTTTATTCAAAAGTAGTAAGATTTCCATTGAAATCATGAACCAATCAATATTAGATTACCATTGAAAACCTAGAAGTATTGGACACCCTCTATGTCCTGGTATGAGACTCGTCAGTAGTGTACATCCATTAATCCACACACCGGCACCGAACTCAGAAACTTCAATCTCATGTACTAACGCTTAACTTCTAGACCACTAAACTAGAATCCAACTATGTTAATGTCTGAATTCATTCAACATCAACTGCTAAATTACAATTTATTAATAGCATAATTTTCAGTATATCTATTACTGTAATTTAGAATAGCGTAATTTTGATGTACTTGTATAATAACTTTTATTGATTTTTTTGGAAACTATAATATTTAAATTCACTTGGTATTGTTTACTTGAATCTTACCATTGATGTTTAGGACCGTAATTGATCAGTTTCTTATTGGCAAATGTGCATACTGTGCGTATTGCCTCGATTTTACCTTAATTCATAAACATTATAAGCAATGATGGATAGTGGCTAGTAGTCGAATCCAAGTCACACTTTTCGTCCTATATAGGACTCATCGACTGGATGTACCTGCATCCGGATTCAGTAGCCAAGTGGATAACGCGTTGGTGTTTGAAGCGAAAGGTACTAAGTTCGAGTCCCAGAGTGAATATCAACCCTAAGTTGTAAGTGCATCCAACTGATGAGTCCCAAATAAGATGAAACGCATATCCTGAATTCCACTGCTAGCCACCATTGATCTTTACTTATAATATTTAAAGTTAATACGTACTAATGTCATTTTTTCATTGAAATGAAAAACAAAATCTCATTTCTCATCATCCATTCATTGATAACAAACAAAATTTTAAAACTGAATATAAACTATGAAAAAAGAAACAAAAAAAAACAAAACAACAACCTACATGACAATTACTTTGAATAATTTCATATCCAAGATAAGGATGACCATAAGAAAGTTCATTACCATTATCTGTATATAATGTGATTGATAAATTTGGCAATGAGATTTGATTTGATTTAATTGAACATTCTTTATAAATTTGTTGTGTTCCTATTAAACTATGACGTTTTAAATATTCTAATTGACTTCCTTCTAATTCATATATTAACTAAATAAAAAGAAATTATATTCAATAATACTATGAATAATTGATTGAAACTATACAGAAACTATGGATAATCAAAAAGAGGTTTTGTATATATTATAGCAAATTTAATAGTTGAACTCATGATTCAATTTAAATTAAACCACCATAGAAAACTTGGAAGTACTGGATGGTCATTTCATCCTCGTATGGGACTTCTTAGCAGTGTACATCTACGATCCCACCTACGCGAGATTTGAACCCAGGACCTATCAATCTTGCTCGTGAACGCTTAACCACTAGACTACTGAGCTGACCGATATCCAATGGTGTTAATGTCTAACTTCAACCAATTCATGAAATGGTACACTGTTGAAGTGTCTCATACTAGGATGAAACGGCCATTCAGTGATTTCAGATTTTCCATGATAGTCTAGAAATTATTTGACTGGTTTTTTTTTTTTAAATATTCCTAGACGATGGTTTATTCTACTCGAAGTGTAAATCACCTTAAGTTTAATGTTGATTTCCTTCAGAATTGTTCATTTCTCTTTAGTTGTTATCTTTTTAATTAAAGATAATTTCAAGGGAATGATTTATATACCGTAAATGAATAAATAAAAATACGTATCGTTTTGTTGGGGATTAATTGCCTGAAAAAAATCAATGTTAATTTAATATGATGAAAGGAAAGTAACCAGTTTATGATGAAATTGGTAAATAATACAAAGTTGAAACATTATTATAAAATGAATTCTTGGTTTAGTTATTCAATAATTTTGACATTTGAAAAAGCTTAGACCAGATTGTTAGGCGAAACGTTGGGTTTACTTTAAATTCATTCACTGAGATTTTTCAAATATATTCTTCCACTTTAATGCCTCAGTCGGTCAGTCAGTGGTCTTGAGTGCTGTTAGAGGTATGAGGGCAGTTGTCACTTCCCGGTTGCCCATACCGTGAAAGGGTCCTTTTGTAGGTGCCTGAAAAGGAAATTGGATTAGAGGTGGTCTTAGTGACCTGAGAGCAAGATCGCAGTGCCCAAGTGACAACTGCTTGAGGTCAGTCACACACGACCTTTCTGTGGGTAATTTTTAGGTTAGCTCAGTACTTGTTGAGACCTTACTGCCGGAGATGGATATCCGTGGGATAAGGTGAGGTGTGCATTTTTATGGTCGACCTTCTCTAACACCACCCCTCCTTGTGAGAAGGCAACATCGCTGTCATGCTGGTTATCTGAAGGAAACACCTTACTGCTGCCACACCTCTGTACAGTCAGCAGTACGACTTCGCCTTCGGACCTTGGGTTTGTTGCTTTTAGTCTTACCGCTCTTCAACCGACCTGTCTGACATGGTAAGACCTTGAGGAACGGTTGTTCCAACCAGTATAGCTCGGTTGCTTCATCACGATAGGCAAGCCCGACCACCACGTCAAGATAGCAACAACGTTCGGGTTTAATTTCTCACATCAAATCGGTACCTAAATGCTGTGAAACTATTCAATCAAGTTCTTAATTGGTTCAGCTAGTTGACTAGTAATCTGATAATTTGAAGAAAAAATAGTTTTGTTCTCATAACACCCATGCTCTTTCATAGCTTTATTCATAAATCTTAAATAGATAGATAAACAGCATTGAGAATAACTATATGTTCACTTTGCGCAGCTATTCTTCATCCCAATGGGCAGTTGATTAGAGGTCTGTATCTTACACTTGTTGGTAGAACGTGCTGATGAAGATACTCGTAGAGAAAAATACAGTCGTTCTTGAGTGGAAACCTGCCTTTTGGCGAAATCCTATCATTTTTCGAACAACAAGAAGCGTACTACACTTATATAATTTTGAGATGGTAGAGAAGATTTGTAGCTCAGTTGGATGATTTTGATAGTTTTGTTGTCTGAGCTGAATAGTTTAGTTGTGGAGCTTTCACTATTCTTCTGAACGATATCATCAGTACAAACTTCAGGTAAAAGCCAAACTTCTCAATTATTTTACATTATAGTTTAAGATCATTTATTTCACAATTTCAATATGTGAAAACATTGATTCATCTTCTGATGATTTACTTTCATTAGCTTGAATATTACAGAAGAGTATGAAATAATATAGAATGAATTAGTATGATTTCTACAAATATATTATGCTTTGCCTCATTAAAAATTCCCCGAATTATAAGGATTCGAAAATTATCTTTCATAATTCAGACCCATAAATTATTTTCATCCTTATTATCTACTCTAATCCCCTTATTGTTATTACGTAACCTCATTTGATAATTAGAGTCTCAAATCACTTTTTGATGTAATCTTTTCTATCCTTCTATAGATATACATCTTCCATATAACTATATATATATATGAACGTACAGCTTAAGTAAATGATTTCATCAAAAAGAAAATTTTCTTCGCTGAATAATACAACCAATTAGTTAAATATAGTTGTTTCAACTTAGTATCCAGTTAAAATTAGGTGAACAACAATAACTCGTAATTTAATATGGTGATAACGATGAATATAAAATGATTAATTATTCAATTTTATATTTATTTGATACTAAACTAACGTCAACGTCAATTGTAGTTCAAACATATTATTAAGTAATACATCTAAATATGACAGCAACAATTTAAACATTGAATAATGAATTGAAATGATTGTGGATACGCATTGCTGAAGAGTCCCACAATAGGACGAAACGGCCGTTTAGTGCTTTCATGTTTTTCATGGTGGTCTAACTTCAATGGACTCATGAATTCAATCCCTCTTTGATAATAATTGAATATTGAGATAAATGAAAAACAAAATTACCTAGATTAATTATTGATTAATTAGATAATCAAAAAATTATTTGTTATCATTTTAACAACTAACTTCATAAAATTGACTTCCTAAATTATTTTGTTCTTCAGTTGAATTTCCATGATCTGGATAATTTGAATTTAGCGCTTTTTGTTTTAATCGAATACATGTTTCACTTGTTTTAAATTTACAATAAGCTTGTACAACATCGTTAATTTCATTTCCATTTGGATCAATCCAGTAATAATCTAATGGTTAAATCAACAAATAAAAGGTTTATGAATATATTTAAATACGTTAAATTAGTGATTAGAGGATATATATATATATATATATATATATATATATATATATATATATAGAAGAGAGAGGGAATTAATATTCGTAACTAATCGTACAATAGCTGATGTATTGGTTTGTGAATTTGTTTTCTATAGAAATTCACCAGATTTTAATTAAAGCATCCCTAAAAACTAGGAACGATAGTATATTTGTTTCATTGTAGTATGGAACACCTCAACAATGCGAACCTACAATTCTTCCATCGGAGATTGAACCAAACGCCTTTGGTCTTACTGGTGAACATTTAAACTCTAGGCTTGTAGGGTGGAATCCAATGGTGTATATGTCTTGCGTAAGTCTATTCATTGACTCCGGCTGTCTAGGGGTTTATGGTTTTCACTGGTGGTCTAACAAAGATCAGTCCGTAATAAAAATTCCGTACATTGAATAATCACCACACAACACTTATGGAATAAAAATTTTGTTAAATATACTTAGATGAAAAATTTGTTAATGAACAAGGATCGTAGTTGTTAAAAATGAACGAATGGAATGCCGATCAGTAGATAAGATCCAATAATCCAATATAACCGAGTGATGATTGCTCATGAAACTGAATTATTGATATAAGCGCATAATCAGGCTGATATCAGAAGACAAAACATCAGTGCAGTAGAATATGTTTTTTTCTTCATATTAATAACCTACTTATATATGTAATACTCGCTCTCTAATCAATGAATTCTTACCCCATTTAAGTCAGAGTTGTTAAGGCTATGACTCAATACTTGAAAAATCGATTACTGAAACCAATAGAACACAACTACAGATGTTATAACAGTAAAGGGATATTAGTGGCTAAACATTGTAGGGTTTTTGTAGCCCAGAATACAACTAAATAGTAGAAATATATGGCTATTCATGAGTCACATTTATTGGGAGTAAAATGCGAAAATACTACTTAGTTAGTCAAACTTTAATAGGTAGCACAGAGTTTTACTCCGTAAAAATATTTTTAGGGAAGTTGTGTAGTTGAATTACCAAGCGATAATTCTATGAATATGTTTATTAATTTCCAGTTAAGAAAAATGTGCAAAATTAAAACGAACGTGATAATATGAACTATAATGCAAGTAGAAACGACAATTCTTCTTATCTAACCGTATAAATGGAGACACAGTTGACATATTTGTTTTTTGATATATCGGCTTATATGGAAGTTTAGATTGATATCATGAATGGATAAATGTTAGGCCACCATTGAAAACCTGAAAGAATCAGAGGACCGTTTCGTCTTAGTATGGAAGCCCTCGGCATCGAGCACCCACAATCCTACGCGCGGGACTCGAACCTAGGTCTCACGAGCTAACGCTGAACCTTCAGATCACTGAGCCGGCGTCCAACGGGATCGTGGATGCCCAGTAGTGAGGGATCCCATACTATGACGAAACAGCTATCAAGTGCTTCCAGGTTTCAATGGCGATCTAAAATTGATCCATTCTTGATATCAATCTAGATTCAACAATTTCCACAATCCTATACTGATAATTATAGGAAACTGTTATTAGCCTCTAAATAATTGTAAAATAGTCGGTTTTAAATATATCAAACTGATATGTAAATCGTACAACTTGTTGAATGTGAAATATTTTGAAATTGTTAACTGTCAATCTAAAATCTAAACCAAGACCCTAAATAAATATAACCGTCGATATTTTTTGCCTTTCAGATAGATTTCCGTAGACTAGACTCGTAAAATTAGTCAAGTTGAGTATAAGACTAATGCATCCATCACATTGGATGAAGGTTTACTGACATTGGAAATGCAAACCAATATGTGCTGAGCAAGTGCCTTAAAGATATTGGGTTTCTATAGGAACTAAATGAACCTAGTTTCAATTGTTTTGTAGGCTGGTAATTTAGTACTGATAGAAATATGCGAAGTAGTTTTTCAGTGCCTTTTACTCAGTACTGGATTCCCAGATGATATTAATGTGTGGTGAAAATTAGCTTTAATTTTTTAAAAGGGTTTTATTCATTAGTTACCCTTTCAGACTCTGAGCTCTAGGTAAAATGTCACTTTTAAAAATGTTTACTATTCATCTCTTAAGATCTAATGTTTGGAATACTATCCTTCGATAACTACCACACATTATCCTGACAAAGCGTGTACAAGCAGTGTAATAAGAAAACATACTGATGATGATCCTTAGATATTTTAATATATTATCGTTAAAAACAATGGTGTTTAATGATCAATTAAGCGTATAGTATTTTAGTGAACGAGAACATCGGTTTGGACAATCGAATGTACTTGGATACAAAATTACAGAACGTCTTAGTAAAATCTGAGAACAATACAGTAATTACTTCATTTGCAAAATGTCAATCAGTTGTCTCAAACTTGACTGTTCCTTTTTGCAAATATCAGTCCATCGTCTCAGACTTTACTGCTATTTCATTTCCATAGCAATTATTCACTGTTCTGGTTCTCTTTTGTTCGACTATCTTAACTTTCTGCAACCAGACATTTCACTTTTGATTGATGGTACATACTACTTATATCTATCGATATCAATAGCATACACTACAGTATTTTAGACTAGATTTCATTGATTTTTTTTATATAACTGTAATCAGTTATTCAAATATTTGTTCATGCTGATCAAATCAAAGCTTATAACGGCCAGATTAATCTTATTGTTTAATTACGTTAACCCTGTTATATTCATTACATTCATAATTGTGTAATTGTAGTCAATTCATGATCAAATTTACTTATATAAACATTTAGATTTTTTAACTTGAACTATTTCTTAAAAATATATTCTGGAATTATATGAAGATACTATTATAATATGCATGGAATAGTTTCAACCATTAGGTCATAATTGATAAATGCAAAGACATGTGATCACTTTGGTATTATTGTACGGTAAATTACTCGGATCTATTCCTGTCAAGCATAGGATGATTAATGTGTACTTAACTTACCATCAGGTAGATTCTTGTTATATTCACCTAGTTGTTTACATGTCAAAGCAGGTGCAGATCTTGTTCCCCTTGGTCTTGAATGCTCATACGTTCCCATAATCCTTCCTGCCAATGGATCATCTGCGTATATATTTCCAGCTTTTGTACTCCGACTGATTGTTGGTAGTTGTACGGATGGCATTCCTGGTGGTCCAGGAGGTCCTGGAGGCCCCATCGGTCCAGGAGGCCCAGACGATCCATCTCTTCCCGAAGGACCTGGTGGACCAGGCAGCCCTGTTTCTCCTCTTTGTCCTTTGGGACCTTTGGTTCCGGTCTCACCAATAGGTCCACTATCACCCGGTGGCCCTGGATTTCCGGGATAACCTATTTCTCCAGGGTCTCCACGTACACCATCAGGACCAGGAGGACCGGGTGGTCCAGGTGGCCCAGACCATCCAGGGTGACCTCGACCACCTGGGCTTCCGGGAAGACCACTCGATCCATCTTGTCCGTCTGGGCCAGTTTCACCAGCAGCTCCTTTTGCTCCAGGGGGTCCTGGAAGTCCGGGTTTGCCGGAAACACCACGTTCTCCTTGTGGTCCAGGTCGACCATCTTGACCGGGTTGTCCAACTTCTCCAACTGGGCCCAAGGGACCTGGAATACCTCTTTGTCCTCGTGGTCCATCAAGTCCAGGCTCACCAGGAGGTCCGGCTAAACCTTCAGGCCCTTGTTCTCCATCTTCTCCTGGTGGTCCTTCAGGGCCCTCAGATCCAGGTGGCCCTTTGGCTCCTTTCGCTCCCCTTGGCCCTTGAGGTCCCTGGGGTCCAGTTGGTCCGGCTGCTCCCTGTGGACCACTTAGACCGGGTGGACCAGGTGGTCCTCTTGGTCCAGGTCCACCTGATGATCCACGCATACCCTATTTTCGAAAAAAATTAAAAAATAGTCATGATATCAAACATAGTAGCTTCTGCAGCTGGACAATTAGCATTCTGTTGAACAATATGTGTGTTACTTGGGTTATTTATGTTGTTCTTATTTAATATCCTAGAAAACTCTATCTTCCATAGTATGACCAATAAGTTTCTAATAATTTCGTTAGTTAAAAATATATAATTGGTTTGCAAAATAATATCATAAAATCTGTTTACATCATGTCCAGTTTATTCACAAATTTTGAGCCTAAAATTTAAAAATAATAATTCATTAACTTAATTTAATCGATTTGCTACTGGATTTTAAGGGATCTTGGTCAAATTATCAAAATTCTGGCATTGTTTTTCCTTGTTCAGTATTAGGAATCGCTTAGGTGAACTTCTGTATGTGTACATACTAAAGATCAATTCCAGATAGTATTAGTTGAAACAACACTTGTAGACACAATCACTAGGCTATTCTATCCTCAGTTGATTATTTGTAGAACTACGTTAAATAAGGAAATTGGTTAAGTGATCTATAATAAGCAAGGTTGTTCCTTTAATACTTTAAAATGCACAGTATTTACTGCTGGTTGGAAAGCCAAAGACTTAAAGTTTTACCTATCGGTGTCATTCAGTCAAAACTTTACTGTTGTCAGTTATTTATTTTCGTTTATCAATGTGATCTGATTTCACGCTTGTATCATTACTGATTGCTATCAGTTGCTTTCACTATTAAATGTTGATGCTTTTTTGTGATCGTGCTGACTGTTATTTTCTCAGGTTTGTCTTATCGCAACTTTCTAGTCGCAAAATTATTTATATCTCTATAATAAGTAGTGATAATGCTTCCTCTGAATTAAATGATGTAATCGTAAATTTTTCGTTATCCTTCTAGTAAATACAGAAATTTAGCATCTACCTCTATTTTAAGTGAGCGCAGGACGGGGGACTATCAATAACATCATTGACTGATTGATGTTAGATATTAAAACGGTTAGATGCTAGCTTAGTGGTCTAGAAGTTAAGTATTTGAATACAAGACCGTGATTCTGGTGTTCGATTCCCATGTTCATGGTCGTAGGTGTACACTTCTGGGGAGTCTTATACGAGGACGAAGCGGGCATCCATCGCTTCCAGGTTTTCAAAAGTAGTCAGAATAATGGTGTTAACTCACTCCAGTTTGTAGCAGTACTTAAACTTAACCAACAGAATTCATTCATCACTAAGGATTAAACAGCATGACATTATTTACCACTCAAAAATCAATTTGTACACAGCATAAGAAGATGTAATTAATAGTTCATTGCCTAAATAATTATTTTGGATTGTGTTAATGAAACATTTATTTAATAATTGAATTCATGAGTCAGTTAAAGCTAGACCACCATGGAAAACTTGGAAGCACTGGACGACCGTTTCGTTCTATTATAGAAACTCCTCAGCAGTGCACATCCACGATCCCGCCTCGCGGGATTCAGAACTCAGGACCAATCAGTTTCGCGCGCGAACTCTCAAACCTTAGACCAGTGACCCGGCGTCCAATGGTATTAACGTTTAACTTGAACCAATCCACGAAATTAAGCATGTGATCATATGCACACTAGTGACTGTCTCCAAGAGTTATTTCCTGGAGTTCTAGTGAGAAGCCGTGACCAGTGGAGTTCAACCGGGTCTGTTGTGAGATAGTTACTCACTTAAGACAATGGTGGACGTGGCGCAATCTCATGGATTGGTTGAAGTTAGACAATAACAAACAAAAAATCTAATGGGCTATAAACAAGCAAACGCCCACAACAAGTAAGAATAAAATTGTGAAGACTGGAGCTTGGTTGTTTATTAATCACCTTGAGAAATTGCAAGGTATCGACTTGATGTCCTGTTTCCAAGTGATGTTTAGTAATTGCACTGTTTAAAGTCTTTCCTTCCATTAATCCAAGGCTTTTTGGAACATGCTCAAAATACTTTGTGATATGTCCTCCTTCACGTTCGGACAATCTAGGTGCTCTGCCAGGTACGTGTAAATTTATAAACACAGTTAGCGAGAACCAAATGAAACGATAATGAATTCATGTTATTCTGCTCAAATCTTTATATTTTTCTTCTCTTCAAGATGATGATAAGTGGAACTGTTTGTATGAAATACTTTCCAAGCTGACAAAGAAATGTTTTCCGCAAAATTTTCATTGAACATTTATTTATTTTACCTGAGTTTTAATAAGTGATTTATGACTATAGCTTAATCTTTAAATTTATTTTTTTCTCTAATTCATGACGATAAATATTAAGTTAATTCGAAAGGTTCTACTGATGATTATACGTTGTATAATATTATTAGATGTTAGTAAACTTTGAATATGTTATGAAGAATACTTCATGTTAAATTGGTAAACGGTTCACTTTGGTTGTATAAACTCTGAAACATCAACAATTTTAATGAGAAAATTCAATAAATGACTTTATAACTTACAATCATTCCAATAGGTCCATCTCGTCCAGGTGCTCCAGGACTACCAACATCTCCGGGTTCACCTACTGTTCCAGGAGTGCCCGGTTCCCCGGGTCACCATCTTTTCCGGCCGGTCCAGGTGGTCCTGTCGGACCTTGTTTTCCTGGTTTTCCAGGCAAACCTGTTTCACCTTGTGGGCCACTTAAACCAGCTTTTCCCGGAATTCCTTGAGTACCTTGTCTACCAGGCAGACCACGAGGACCTTGAGGTCCTCTGACTCCTGGGACACCTGCCGGACCTTGAACACCAGGAGGACCTTGACCACCCAACTGACCTGCGCTACCAGCTCGACCTCTTATTCCTGCACGACCATTTGCACCTGGGCTTCCAGGTGGTCCAGGTGCACCTGATGGTCCACGTTTGCCGGGTGTTCCACTTGGACCCTGGAGACCGACTGGACCAACCTGTCCAGGCATTCCAGGAACTCCAGCATCTCCTTGTACGCCATTATCTCCGACTGGACCAGGTGGCCCCATAATTCCCAGTGACCTCCCACCTACATGAATTGCACCAGGTGGACCTCTAGCACCTACGGGTCCAGGACTTCCAGGCTGACCATCTTTTCCCGGGACTCCATGTGCCCCTGAAATGCCTCTATCGCCTTTAAAACCTGGTGGACCATTCGGACCAGAGGGTCCTGGAGCTCCCGGTATTCCCTAAAAGAGGGTGATCAATAATCATTGGTAAGTTCGCGTGCAGTTATATGGAAATAAATTATATCAGATCCGTGTTATTTATACATTTCAAGAAATTTGATCACACCAAGATCGTTATATGAGTGATAAAAATGTCTAACTAAGCAATTGGAAATCTTATAAAATCAAGAATAATTAGGAAAAAATGCATCGTCATACCGATCATTAGTACAAAAAATTCAAATCAGTTGTATTAGAGTAGGCTTAATGTAATTAAAAACTGTGTCACGTACAGCTCTTACATTACGCAGGTTGAATTTTCTGGTTTTGACACATATGACTACGTTGTTATCTAATTACATTCTATGAAGATTCATTTTCATTTGAATATTCTGCTAAAGTCTCAACATATGATATGAAAAGACTATCCAGCAAAGCTCCTAAAACACGGATAAGTCCAAATTCTTCCTTCACAATGAAGCTTAAATAAACAGCTTCAAGTAAGGTTCAACTAGTTCACCCACCACTTCAAGAGATTATTTATAGGCTGCCTGGGTACTATTACTACCGCTAATAATAATAATAATAATAATAATAATAATAATAATAATAATAATACTTCAGATCCAACTCCCGCTTTTAATACATACACAGTTACTGTTAAAACTCGTGTGCAATAATTAATTCACATCCATATTTGGAAACAGTTTAGAACAAGTGTAAGGAAAACAGTCATAATTACCAGTCTTGAATAATAATTAGTTTCTTTCGGCCACTCTGATGCACAGTCACTCTCTGAGCAATCTTTAGAAAGATACACGAAAAGTATTATATAAAGTAAAATGAATTTCTAACTAACCATCACTCCCATTCTTCCAGGTATCCCAATTGGTCCTATACTGCCAGGTTCTCCTTTCGGACCAGGCAAACCTCGAGGTCCTGGCTGACCTGCTGGACCTATAGGACCTTGTGGCCCCTCTGGGCCTGCAGCACCAACTTCACCATCTGGTGCGTCTACTCCTGGTGTTCCGTCTTTACCAGGGTCACCAGATGGTCCAGGATCTCCTCGTGGTCCTCGTAAACCTGGGGAACCAACATTTCCAATCAAACCCTGAAATCCTTTTTCACCAATCGGTCCTTGTTTCCCTTGAGGTCCTGGGGGACCTGCATCACCAACAGCACCAGCCTCACCTAATGGACCTTTCTCACCTTTTTCTCCTTTTGGACCAGATATGCCTACAGATCCGGGAAGGCCTCGTTCACCTTGAGGACCCTGGAATAAAATAAAACTTAGGTTAAGTGTTTGATTAATGTTCTCTAGATTTTCCGATTTTTATTATTAGACTCAAAAATAAACGCACAGAATGTGTGCTGAAGATATTGAGACTCTATAACTTTGCATAATTAGAGGAAAAATTGGGAGTCATAGCCACCACAATTAATTATCTAGTGGATAATCATATAAACTTCATAGGAGAATTGAATTATTCATAAAGTGATTCAGTAAATTAACCTTACGTTGTTTCTACAATATTTCTAGAAAAATGTGAGACCTACCTGTTGTCCAATATCTCCTTGTAACCCTGGCGGGCCACTTGCTCCCGTAGCTCCTGGAAGGCCACTTGATCCGGCTTTACCTGGTTGACCCAGTGGACCTGGTGGACCGGAAGCCCCTGGGATTCCATCCCGTCCATTCTCTCCTGGTGGTCCAGGAGGACCGATCCGCCCTGGTTTACCATCTTGTCCTGCTTGACCTGGTTCTCCTCTCGGTCCCGTTTTTCCTATTGGGCCACTTTTCCCTGCTGGTCCTGGAACACCTGGTCTTCCGTCGATACCTGGTCGTCCAGGAGCACCAGGAGAACCAGCTACTCCAGCCGATCCCTTTGCCCCAGGAGGCCCTTGAGAACCAGGGATGCCAGGTTTCCCAACTTCTCCAGGAGGACCTGAGTAAATATTTTATATGAAAACTTATGTTTTTAAGTATCTAGAAAACTGGCAATAACATTATAATGATTATTTAGTTGATTCCGATGTATTTTTCGTTGTGTTCATTGAGAAAAGAACTCATCCCTTACCTGGTAAACCACGAGGACCTATAACACCAGGTGGACCAGAGTTTCCTTGAGGTCCACGATTCCCTGGAGGTCCAGAAACTCCAATGGATCCCTTAGTTCCTTGTTCACCTGATGACCCTGATGTGCCGGGTGCTCCTCGAGGACCTGGCATACCTTCCGGTCCCGGCGCTCCTCGAAATCCTATGTCACCTTTTTGTCCTTGTGTTCCATCTTTTCCAGGTGGACCCTTTTAAAGCCAAAAGAAGTAAATAGAATCAGTACAGATGAAAATTAACTTTTATAGTCCAAAAGTATTGCGTAAATATATTTATCAGTTAGAGTTTTAAACAAAACGAAATTGACAGCTTATGAATATGATCATGTTCGTCAACATTTTATAATGTTATCAAAAGGAAATTTTGCAGTTAGTTTCCTACAAAAGCTTAATGACACATATTTAAAGTGTATTAATATGTGAATAGGTTCATCTAAGTTCAGTGATCAATATGATGTGGCTAAAATAATTCGGTTGTTCACGTTGAAACTGTTCTAGTTCATCATCTTACCCGAAGAAATCATCCAATCTGTGTATTCAGTAACCTTATTCTAGTATACACAATCAATTATTCTGTTCACGTGATATTTAATTACTTATTCCATTGTAGTGATTTATTTAAAGTGTTTCATTAACATTTAGACTATTTAAATCAACAATTTATTATTTAACCCTTGTTATCATACATTATTATTCGTTTTAACATTACTAAGATTTTCCACTCAGTATAATCTTTGAGATTAATCAATTCGAAAGCAAGAAGGTACCCATCAATCATATTAGAGAATCGATCATGAATTCAATCTATGCTAGACTACCATTAAAAACCTGGAAACATTGGACGGGCGTTTCTCCCTAGTATGAGACTCCCCAACAGTGCCCATCCACTATCCTATATGACGGACTCAAACCCACGACCTACGGTCTCATGCGCGAACGCTTAACCTCGATCCATACTAGCGTAGATTGTCTCATGAATTCAACTATTAGAAATAACTACAATCTCCACAAACTCCTATTCTAATAATAAACACAATTATGAACAATTTGGAAATAATCGTCCGATGTTCTAATATGACAAAGATTTTTAAGTTAACAGCATAATTTATTAATGAAGTTGATTAAACTGATTAAAATAAAATCATTGTGGCAGGATCTCATCGAGTAATTTTTAACACTAACGTTGTTTCCTGAAAGCACAAAGTAGAAGCTTTTTTTATCCATCATATGAGATAAATTTTACAATTTTAGTGACAGTTAAAGCTTATTGAAATCAAAATGTGCATATTATGAAGTTTTTATTACCTGAATTCCTTGTTCCCCAGGTCGTCCAGGTTTCCCATCAAGCCCAGGTTTACCAGGCTCACCAACTCCTCCACGTAATCCAGCTTCACCAGTTTCTCCTTGATCACCAGTTGGGCCAATAGCGCCTGGTTCTCCTGGAAGACCTTGTGGACCTGGCGGACCTTGAGCTCCAGGAAGACCATCTGCTCCAGCAGGACCAACTTGTCCTGGTGTTCCTGATGGACCAGCAGGTCCAACTCCTCCACGGGCACCAGTACGTCCCATAAGTCCAGGAGCACCAATATCTCCTCGGACACCCTTATCGAAATACAATTAATACATTGAAACATATATCAGTTTGTCTCTTATAATAAAAATATCAAAATTTCACCTCAACATTGAAAAATCAAAAATTTCTAATTATTTAATTATGTCGAATTTCCTCTCTAACTATAAAATATTGACTAGATTCATTCCATAGAATTTAATCAGTGTTATGTTGTTTTGTATGAATTCAATTGTACTATCATATAAACATTGTGTCATAAAAATATTCAGGCAAGACTATTATTTATGGACGAACCAATCAGATATTAGATAATAGGTCTTGAATTTTGGCGCAAAATTCACTCAGCTAAGTAGAGTTTTAACATCAGAAATTATGTGAATTCGTGATAAAAACCCTAAATCTAATTTCTAACCATAACCATCAACTGTAATTCATAATTCTAATTCTTCACACTGGTTTAGAACCCTCATTTGGTCCTAGTTATTAGGTGGACACTCTTAAGGTCAGTCCGTCGTCGACCAACGGTCATCCATAAATTATAATCTCACTAATATTCATCATTGTTTCATTTCTAATTTTTAATATTCAATTAAATTAGATTCTTTATAGTTTAGGAACTTTTGTTACAAACTATCTGAATCAAAAACTCATTATATAATGTTTTCATAGGTACCATTTATTTATCAGAAAAGAATATACAACTTAAAATAATAAATGATGCATTAAATATTCAATATTGTTCTATTTGTACTTTGTATTATTGATTGACACAAAGTGGAAAAAGATCTAAAAGCAAAGAACATTTGTTATATTTTAGCTCAATACTTCATAACGATGTAAGTTCACTTATGTCTTTACAGGAAACTCATATATAAATTATAGAGTAATAAAAATAGTAATATTAAACTATCATTTAAACAAGAAAGATTATCATATCATTAACTATTTCCTGGCTTCTAGTTTAAACTATTATTATTTTTGAGTTTAATTTAGGTAACTTGAATTGACTTAGATCTGTTCTTAGTTTTATGATTGATTGGATTATATAAATGTTCTCATAAGTATGAGGAAATGTTTAAGATAATACACAGCTAAGATGGTTGTTAGAGGTAATCAACAGGAAACTTTGGACCCGGGTTTCATGCTACGTGGCACTCGTCAGCAAGGTGTTCCTGTAATCTTGAGGGACCTGGTGCTCTCTGACGGATTCGATCCCGTGTCACTCAGCTTCACAGTCAGAGACGTTATCACTGAGCTATCCAAGCCGTGACCGACCTCCTGTAAGACTGAGATGTAATCACAATTGATTGATCACTAAGGGGTGACCAATGTCATGTGTATCAAGTCCTTCTTAGACTAGTGGCCATATTGCAACTTGGTCGATAGCATTCAATCTGCACTAAGAAAGACTTGGCACACACGACATTGATCACCACCCAGTAATCAATCAATTTTGATACACTGTGTGATTTGATTATTTTGTTTTCCATAGTTATTGGGTGTTTTTTTGTAGTATCGATTGATAAAAGAATAGCTATGTAGTTAAGGATGTAAATTTAAATATTTATATTCATATTTTGAATAGAATTTATTCATTGATGGCAGTCGATAATGTCTCGTAGACCGAGATTTCTTTTTAATCATTTCGTTAAAAGATCGACTTCAACCAACTTTCATCAGATACAAAATGCATTGTTATGTCAAGTTAATTAGATTGATTGGCTAGATATCGGCTTCACTGATATACAATTAGATCAGCAGTAAAAAAATACCTACTTATTTACCTATTTATTTACTTATTTACTTACTTACTTACTTACTTAAGCATGTTATCTCTAATGGAGCATAGACCTTTGGCCAGCATAGCAGTTAAGAATAGATGATTTAAAATTAAATACTACTGAGTGATAAAATAGTTTATATTTCTGTTTTGAATAATGATGATATTTATGAATGACTTGCTAAACTGACTTTCCAGTTTAAAGGTTTCAATATTAAATAAGATATAATGTTTGTAAAATTCTGATATGCTTTTTCAACTAATTTTCCAGGAGGTGTATTCATATTCGATTTGAAGTATTTACTATTTGTGAATGAATACCATTAAAAAACATGTTGAAATTGCATTATTTGGTAGTATTTAGCACGTATAGATGTTTTTTATTGATATGGTGAGAAAGATTTGTAACTCTGGTGGATGACTTTGGTGGAGTTTCGTTGTCTTAGTTGGAAAGTTTGGTCGTGGAACTTTCGTTGTTATTCTGGACAAAGAAATGACAGTTATTAGTTATGTGAAGAGAAATTCGAATACTTCACTTCTACCTGATGATATATTTCAGAAGGACAGTGGAAGCTCCATGACCAAATCATTCAGTTCAAAGAAATGTTTTTTTTATTATTTGTGTGTTTTCTATATGTTTAGGCTGAATTAAAGTGAATGGAAACACTTTAGTCACTCTTTTATATAGAACTTCGACTATCATGATGAATGTTGCAGATACAGACTTTTATGGATTACGATGAGGATAATTAGTTAATATTTTAAAAAATGGATTGACCATCAATATCTCGGAAGCTTCATTAATGCACATGTTTATAAGGAATAAATTAAAGAAACAGTAATTATTGATACAGTAATGCTTACCTCAACACCATCTCTTCCTGGATCGCCTCTTTCACCCTTTTTACCCTTCAATCCAACAGGTCCTTTTAATCCAGGTGGACCGGTTGGTCCTGATGGACCTGGTGGGCCAACTTCACCTGATGCACCTGGATTTCCAGCTTCTCCATCTCGACCTGGTTTTCCATCTGCACCTGGAGGTCCGGGCAATCCAATAGGTCCAGGAATTCCTGGTCCACCTGTTTTCCCCGTTGGTCCCGGTGAACCTGATGGACCAGGTGGACCATCTGGTCCCGGTGGTCCTGGTGGTCCACGTTCTCCTTGAACTCCCATTGCACCAATTCTATAAGTTGTTACACCAAATGGTGCTGGACCTTTAACCTATAATAAATTTCAGTCAAAATAACTTTTATGGAAATTTCAGTGATTTTTCAGAATGTTATGGTTATTCACAAACAAATAAATCCTTGTAAATATCAATACCGATGTTAGAGTTGATAAATTTAAGCAAAATGAACAGAAATATCTGTGATATAAGATTTTTCAGCTTATTTCACATATAAATCTATTCGTATATCTTTAAAGTCACGTTTTTAAAATTTACTTCTATTTAATGGATAATTTACAATTCATTACGTTTTATGATCTGAAAATTCACTTCATCATTACTTGATGTTATCTTAAAAGTACTAATTCGGATTGTTATTCATGAAAGTTCTAAGTTCTCTCTAATTTGATCATGCAGTTAACAATGATGACAAATTCCAAGGTGTGTGTAAAACAGCTATCGAATGCTTTCTTATTCACATACTAAATGACACAATTACTAGATCCCATTGGTTACTAATTTAATTTAGATTGCTAATTGTTTTGCTTGAACTAATCACTCACCAGTGATAACTTTTACTAACATATCAGTTCATTAATAACAAGTAATTTATTTAAATGAAGAATATAAAACTTTTGTTATTAAACAATCATCATTCTAATAATTTATTCGAATGAAAAATTTCAATGATTAGTTTTTATCAGTATAGGTGTTTGTAGAGATTGTAATGATTTTTTAAATATTTAAATTCATGAGTCAATCTATACTAGACCACCGTTGAAAACCTGGAAGCATTCGACGGCCGTTTCGTCCTAGTACAGGAATCTTCGACAGTGCGTATGCATGATCCCGAGTGAGAGGCTGAAGCACAGGACCTCTGGTCTCACACACAGAAGCTTAATCTCCAAACCTTTGAGCTGACCGGCATCCAACGGTGTTAATGTCTAGCTTCAATGAGTGGTCTAAAGGTTAAGCTTTCACTCGTGAAGCCGAAAGTCCTGAATTCGACCCCCGTATGCGGGATTGTGGATATGCATTGTTGAGGAGTCTCATACTAGGACGAAACAGCTGTCCAATGCTTCCAGGTTTTTAGTGGTAGTCCAGCATAGATCGACTCCTGTATTCAATGACTAATTTCTAGCTATTTACAAAAAGTAAATATGACACAATACAGTAAACTGTATCTATAATACTTTACTTATTTATAACATAGATCAATTCAACATTTAATAACACAGATTAGAATAGAAAAACTAATATCTTTAAGAAATGTTTGAAGAGTACATACATACTTAACATGTTTTCTAATACATCAAACGAAATGTTACAAGAAACATTAAGTAGACTGAATTGTTGTTTTGTTTAAACGAAGGAAAGAAAAAGAAAACCTTTTTTTCGATAACACAGTGAGAAGACGAAGTTTATCAGAATTATGTGGTGATATATTTGCGTAATACATTTCGAACAATCTGATCACACACAACATACTTGTTAAGACATTTTTATATGAAAATTAAAAGGTCAACTAGACAGGTTAAAGGTAAGCCGTAACAAAGGAAAAAAAACAATGTGATAACCACTCTGGATGATAAATCAGTATTACCAGATAGGTAAAGTGTAAGGATAAATTGTTTTTGAACTCATAAAGGGGATTTCTGTTTCCGTATAGACATGGCTTCAATAAACCTTAGTATACGTCCTTGAAAGTTTTTGTATAACACTACAAATACTGATCCATCAGCAATAGTCTTCTGTGGGAGAGAACAAAGCAACTTCCAGCTGAAGAAGAAATTAGGAAAAGACGATGGAAATGGATAGGACATACATTACGCAAACCGTCAAACTGCATCACGAGGCAAGCCCTAACTTGGAACCCTGAAGGGAGGCGAAAAAGAGGAAGGCCAAAGAACACATTGCGTCGGATTATAGAGGCAGATATGAAAAGGATGAATTACAACTGGACGGAGCTAGAAAGGATTGCCCAGGACAGAGTTGGATGGAGAATGCTGGTGAGTGGCCTATGCTCCTTCACGAGGAGTAACAGGCGTAAGTAAGTAAGTACAAATACTGATTTGATTTCAACCTTATGACCAGTTTCAATCAAATGTTTCGCAATGGAGAATGATGTCTGTCTATCCTGAAATCTTCTTTGACCATAGCAATCCAGTGTTTCTGCAGCCATTTTGGTATGTGTTCACCCACCCTTAATTGCAAGTCACCTTTTTTTAAATATTACTCAATGGGTATATCTTTGTGAGTATAATAAACATAATGTTGTTAGTTCAGTAGACAGTGATATTTCTACTGATAATTTGATAAATAACATGATCTTTTTATCTTTAATTAATTCTCATTTAATTATCAGATGGAGTTTTGTGAAGATTTTAGTAATTTCAGTAACTGAAATCATGAGTCAATTGAAGCTAGACCACTACATGTTATGAGATATCAGCTCACTGAAGACAATGGTGTATGGTGGTGCAATTTCGTGGATTGGTTGAAGTTAGACATTAACACCGTTGGATGCTGGCTCAATGGTTTAATGATTAAGCACTCGCGCGCGAGACTAATAGGTCCTAGGTTGAAATCTCGTGAGGGGAGGGGCAGAATCGTGGATGCCGACTGCTGAGGAGTCCTATACTAGAACGAGACAGCCTTCCAGTGATTCCAGGTTTTCCATGGTGGTCTAGCTTCAATTGACTCATTTAATTATATGTATGTAAGGTTAATCAACTTATACTGATGATTGTTAAATAAAGTATTGGTCAGTTTATTTATATAATTACAAAGATAGAGTTACTTCAGTAAACAATGAATTACTTCATATTTCCTATTCTGATTTTAGTTCGTTTAAGGTAAAAAATTAAAAAAAAAGAGAAAAGGGATATCTAGATTAGATTAGATAATTATTTATACTTATTATAGATAAATTATATATAACTTACTCCAGGACTTGGTACATCTTCAGCTTGACGTTTTAATCTTCGAACACGTTCGCCTGATAGTTAAGAATAAATAAAATGACTTAAAATCAATAAAATGTATTTAGATTACATCAATAAATCAATATTTACATTTGTTTCGTTTTTCATGAAATATAAGCGATGATTCAGGATCAAGATGTAAGTATAGAATGGTTAATATATATTGATTATTTCTTTTGGAAATGTTATTAGTGGTTTGTTCTATTTTGAAGGGAATTTTAGTCAAAGAATATGGTCAAATGCAAAGCTTTTATAAACCACCTATTTTGATACAGTTTACAATTCATGTGTAATGTACAGTCTGAAGCCTATATAAGTTCACATTACTGATGAATCACAAACCAGGACGAAACAATTGTCTAGTGTTTCTTAGTTTCCATAGTTTCTCAGATGTTTTTTTATATTTTTGTATCATATATACACGTATATTTATAATTTATTGAATACGCGATGATACAGGAGAAGAATCAAAGACCGCGGATAAAGACGTATTACTTATCCAAAGTGTATCAAAACTTTGTTTGAATTCACTAATTTTTTAGTTGTTTTGTTTACATTGTTCAACAGTCAAAAATCATGAAATTAAATAGATTAACAAGTAACACTAATTAATCAATAACTTAACGTATGAAAACAGTTTACAATATCATCAGATTAAAATGCTATTACAGTTAATGAGAACACAGGTGGGGAAAGCCAATTGTATTGTAGTACAGAATAACGGAGTCCTTTAGTAAAATGTGAAAACTATACATTCATTACTTCATTTTGAAATCCTTCATCAAATGTTTCGAACCTCATCGTCCCCGTTCTCTTCTATTCAATCTTCTTAAACTTCTGCTGCCAGGTATTCCACATTTTATTAGTGTTACATATTACTAATGTCGATATAACTAGCATATACAACACTATAACCAACACCTGTAACTAGTTTTCAGAGTTATATAATAACTTCTTCCTAACAATTCCACATCTTTAGTTGAACTCATGTCATAAGCTCTCGTATTATACTTCAACTTGATTAATCATTGTATTTTTACATAAAACGATTGTAACGCAACATATGTTAGGTAGGACTGAAGGATGGAAAAATGGATTAATCGCTCAAGACGAAAATTGTAATCTATCCAATTAGTCTGGTCTTTGTTATTTGTATATGATTGTTTCCAAAGTCAAGTTAAATAAAATCATGATTTTCTGCATCAAAAGGATTATCTCACTACCATTTGAATTTCAGAAAGCAAAGTTTAATCAATAGTATTAGGCTTAAAATACAACAATTTGAGTCACTTCTTGTGGATGGATTTTTTGCACCAATGATAATGAAAACGGATTTGATTAATGAACGATCTTGAACCCTTTGAATTGTGAATGAATTACCTGATAAATAACTTAGTTGATGGGATAAAAGAATGTAATGTAATGTAAATCGCCAACATATGAATCGTATATTCAGGTGTCAGTCGTTACTTAACTCTCTGACAGTGAAGAGTAGTCTTATTATAATATAAAGATCATTGTCTCTCTGGTTTACAATTATTATTATTATTATTATTATTACTGTTATTATTATTATCAGCTTTATTCAATATTATATTTTTGGTAGAATATGGAATTCTCAGCGTAAAGTATTTCGACAAGTTTCCGTTTCTTTCTTCTTGGTCGGTCCTGGCGATAAATATCGAGTGATCGCCAGCTAGATGTTAGTAGTTCAGTAAATGAACATCTGACTAATGTGCATTCTTTTCGTTGTATATTGCCAGTAACCACATTGTTTCTTATTGAGTTTTTTGTAACTTTGACAACGAAAGGTTGTACACTTTTCAGAAACGCAGCTGGATAGGTTATACGACTAATAAATATAATGACATACTAAAACAAAAAAAAATAGATAACTTGTTGAAATATCTAGATGGCAGGAACAGGTAGCCGAGATGCTCAAGCAGGCCGCCCAATATTGAGGAACATGATGACATAAACTGAAAAATTCACACTTTATTCTAATTTCTTATAATAATCTTATTTCGTACATTCAGTTTAGTTAACACTATGACGTTGGTTGAACTTGATAGATAATTGAAATGATATAAGCATAAAATGGACAATCTTAAGATTAGCAATTTCCTTGCTAACAGGCTTGATCTCATATAAAGCCTTGATAATCAGCTATCAATGATTTACAAATGAATACAACAAATCTTCTTTAGAACAAGATGGTCAAATTATAACTGATTCACTTTATCCAAGATATTATTACAATAATGCATAGTAACCAAATAATAAAAAAAAATAGACAGCTCACCTTGTATTAAATGTAATAAACATATTAAAAAGACTAATGTTGTAATTGAATAAAATTTAATGTGATACATTGGACATTTAAGGAAAAAGAAAGATTCAATCAATTGTTTTAATGAGCACTACTCATGTATGGATAGATGATAAATAAGTGTAACCAATTTTGGCTTATCAACTAACTAATGAAATTTATTCAATTATGAATGTGTTAGTTAACAACAAAAAATTTGTGTCTTCACTATTCTATCAGAATCTATAACTAGTACTGTGTATGTTTGGGTCACAATCTTTTTTTCTTGTTTCCATCTTTTGGACTAATAATAATAAAAAAAAGGAACCATTAGGATTAATATACTTCTTTTTTATTTACTCTACTCTTAGTTACCTTTCTCTTCCTTTCTTTCTTCCTAATGTTTTGTTTTTCCTGTATATATATATATATATATATATATATATATATATATATATATATATATATATATGTGTATACTTGTATATAGTTGTATAAGACAGTAGTTTGAGACAAGAATTAGTAAGTATACACAAAATTCTTGCACAACAAATAGACATTATAATGTATGTTTATTTGTGCTATTTATTCAATGTGTGTATGCACTCCTAATAGTTACCATCATAGATACCCATACACCTTTTCACAAATTAATGATTTCTTTCCTTCTTTCTTTCTTTTGAAAGAATATTTGGATTAGTGAATCTTTGTTTTTTTTTTCTCTTCTAGTTTTTCGTTACATTGAAAGATAGAAAATATTAGTGCTTAGTGTTATTGTCTAAAATCTAGAATAAAATATAAATTTATCAATTTTGTGAAATAGGTAATACCAAGCGATAAGAAAAAAATCGAATATAATTAGTAATTTCATAGAATACACTTTTTTTAAAATATAAATGTTTGATGTCAATTTGTGCTAGAAATGAAGACGGGAAATTTTACCTTAAGGGATATAGACAATCGAATAAACAGGATCAGTTTACTTTATAGCACACATTCACCAACACCCACACCCATACACTGCGTTTATCTTAATGCCAATATCATGTATTATATATCGGACATTTATAAGATTAGGACACAAACAGTTATATACACCATAGAGAACGGGAGTTATAGGGAGAATGAAATTGAAAGAATGAAAGCATTAAAATGAATAATATAATCATTGTAATCATTTCTTTCTGTCCTAGATTTTAGACTAAAGAAATGTGTTCAATGTTAAGTGAATGTTTGTATATGTCTGTAATTCAATGATTGGTTATCCTATTTTTCATTTATGTATTAGAAATACATTTGAAAATGTCAAAGAATAAATACATCTTTATTTTATCATTATATTATGAAATAAAGATTTTATTTTCATAGATTATACAATTTGAAGTTTACATTGGTCAGTTTATCTAATGAAAATAAGATACTTATCTTATCAGAAGGGGTTTGTGGAGATTTTAGAATTATCACAGATTGGAATCATGAGTCAATTGAAGCTAGACCACCATGGAAAACCCGGAAGCACTGGACGTCCGCTTTGTTCTAGTATGGGACTCCTCAGCAGTGCGTATCCACGATCCCACACCTCACAAGATTCGGACCCAGGACCTACCAGTCTCACGCCAAGTGCTTAACCAACTAGACCACTGAGCCAGCATCCAATGGTGTTAATGTCTAACTTCAACCAATCCACGAAGTTGCGCCACCGTATACCACTGAACCTCGTGGGGTGCGGGATCGTGGATGCGCACTGCTGAGTAGTCCCATACTTATCTTAGTTAAAAAATCATTTCGAGTAGTTTCAGTCTTTTAAAATGGTTATGCGCAGCTATTCATGGATCAATGGAAGTTAGCTATTAACACCATTGGATGCTGGTCAACTCAGTGGTCTAAAGGTTAAGTGTTTGTATGCGAGATCAGAGGTTCTGGGTTCGTATCCTGCATGCGGGATCATGGACGTGCACTGTTGAGAAGTTGCATACTAGGACGAAACGGTTGTCCAATGCTTCTAGGTTTTCAATGGTGGTCTAGCATAGATTGACCCATGAATTCAACTAATAATATTACTATCATCGCCACAAACTCCATTCTGACCATAGCATATACATTTTTATACGTATTAATATTCAATAAGGATGCATATAGGTTAGTTAAAAAGCCTTTTCATAGTTATGTTATGAAATGAAGATGTATAAATAATTTATATATAATGTATGTATTTTTCAAGATCTATAATAGGTTTTCCCATTCTAGATATAATATAATTTTCACTACAAAACTCTTCTTTCCTAGTAAATCCCATACTTTTTGGATGTATGATGATAGCTGCCTCAATTAAACGTTGATAAATTTAGGAAATAAACGATCTGGTGATTATATTTAAACGAATTTGCAATTAAATTACAATCATCAATAGGTAGTGTCAACATGGTATTCCATGGAAATCATTCAACCATGAATATTAACTACAATATCTAGCATTCAGTTATTTTCTAGTTATAAAATATATTGCTAGTGAAATAAGTGAAGGACAGTTTGATACTGTTATTATTAATCTAAAGATCTTAATGAATAGAACTCCTTGATTCAACTATGAGAGGATCATTTCATAATCAAACTTGGAAATAATATTTCATAAGAAAGTTAGCTTTAAAAATCAGCATCACAGACCACTTGAATAATATCTTCTTACTTGGGTAAAATTTGATAAATGATACATTGAGTATTCCATATATCCAATTTTGTAAGCATTGAATTGTGTAATAAACAAATTTACCAAGTATGAGTTATAATGGAAAGAACAGAAACTCCTATCATATTAAACAACAGAACAGAATCAAATATGTAAATACCTGTTTTATTTAATGCCCGATTCAATCGAGTTTCTATGATTCAAAGCATATAGTATCAATTTCTTTTCGGTTTGGTCAAACAACCAAGCATTTTCAGTGTCTTCGGATAGCGGTTCATTTCTGTACATTTCTATACATAAACAATCTGTGGACTTTTTTGCTTTACTGAATTTTGTGCTATGATTTAGATGCTCATTGAGGACATTGAAGTTAATGTAATCAAAAATTATTTTAATATCTGTTGCACAGAGCTATGGTCATTTGTTCTCATGATATCCTTGAAGAGGGAAGAATGCTTATCCATGATTTCCTAAACAAAAATGAATAATCATCAAAGTTCCTGATGAATCATATATTGTTAACTAAGTCTAAAAAAGTCACTGTCAGTACGTAAAAAGCCACAATTCCTAAAATTACAATTTAAAGTCGATATAGCCAGTCAAATTGAGTTAACATAGCAAGAAGAACCGGGGACAAACATTTGTTGCTGCAACACTATATTCTCCTTTCTTCGTTTATTCATTAATGAAATCGGTAGTGAGCTCTTCCCAGTGATCAAGAAATAAAGATAAATTATCTACTCCTCCCTTCATCTATTTGTGTGTACCATTTTAATTGCTGTTGTAGAGCCATTCATATCGACTATACTATCAAACCATTACATTCTTTGATTTCTGAACTTCATTTTATATGGTTTACTAAAGGTGACGATAAAACAATATGTATCTTTTAAGTGAGACTGAATGCCACAATTACACAAGCTAGGCTTTCAAGGTTATTCACCAAGTTCCATTGAACTTTCTCTATGATTCTCGAATCAGTCTATTACAAAGGATCCCGTAGGGTTGTACAGCCTCTTTCATTTACTTTAATTTTTTACATAAATATCCTTCTGTCTCTCAAAATATTCTTTTCAATTATCCATTCTTGTCATCTTAATTCAGTTTTAATCTCTAAATTTATTGTTATGTAACCTACCCTTAACATCTATCGAGTTTTTTTTCTCACTGGCTGAATGAATTATCTGTTAATAAATGTACAAGTAACATTGAACATTCATAAATAATTACTTAATTTCGAACTATTCTCATACCTGTGTAACTAGTTGTAATAATCAGTTGATTATGTAATATAGCTTTAGTCGTATTCTTAATTTTAACTTTCCATCCATTGATTTACCATGAATTGTTTACTATATTCAAAACAAATTTAATGATATACATTGTCGAATAGATCTATCAGTTATTTGATCTTGATTTTATACTTCGTTTAAAAATTAATATACAGCACTGACAGGAAACTGCTCGGAAGAAATATTCTATAAGATGGTGGTTGGAGATAGTTAACAGGAAACCCTGGACCCAGGTATTGTGCTATTTGGCACTCGTCAGCAAGATGTGCCTGGAATTTTATGGAACTGATTCTCCCTGATGGATTCGATCCCTTGCCACCTAGCTTCACAGTCAGAAATGTTACCACTGGGCTATCAAATTTACGAGGTAATTAAAAAGTAAGATATTTTTTTCGTTTTACAGTAGTTTAGAATAAAATGTTGAAACCCAGTAATAAACGATGCAATTGATTTCCATCATCATGTAACTATGAATGAATCCATCCAAATTTATTATGATTTATATCGACTATCAAAGCATAAATGATTATTGATTCATTAACTATCGTGTAGGTACACATCGATTTGATAACCATTTAATACTACGATTCAGTATCAAGTTGAAACTGTTTTCTGTTGACAGATCCAAAAGATGATCGAATCGTTTTTGAAACTAAAGAAAAGAACTTACAGTCTTCTATCCTTTCCTAATTGAAACTGTAACCTATAAATTAACACTAACAGACTATTAAGAGATTCTAATCAAGAATATTTCTTAGTTTTCTATCATCTTATTTAGCTGATTTCTAATACGACACCTCGATTTTTACTGCGTTTCTTCCATTAATAGATATATATGTATCTACAGTAACTAGATAATAAATAAGTTAATCCAGTCATCAATATTAGTTGTTATTATGTTTATATTTAGCTAAACATGACTTGACATATATTCTCAACTGTTTTGGTAACTTTTTATGTGCATATAAAAGTATGGATGTATCTATGTATGAATTGAATGTACACCTATACATAGATCCACCGGTAAAATTTCAGAATATTCTTAGCGTATTCTTTTCTATTAAAGTAGTAAATTGTGCCCAATCAATAACTATACTGATTGGTTCTTCCTTTCTTTTGTTTTTTTATTTTTTTTTTACTTCTAAAAGAACAAAATCTATTTCTTCATACTTATAACAAATACACATTTGCACTTATCAGCACTCAGAAGATTATAAAGTTATATACATATACATATACTACCCTATACATATGTACATGTCTATTATAATTCAGATTTAAGTAATGATGAACAATAACCAATTGTTAGATGAATGAATCAAATTTTACTTACATGATACAATCCTTATAAAGGGGAATCAAATAGAATAGTGTATGTATGCACTTAGTCTTCCTTATAAAAAAAATTTTTTTTTAAAAAAAGTAATAATAAAGTATACAGTGACATGCACACAATTACACAATCATTATTCAATTATACACTGAATAAGTTTCTATGAATAAAACTTGCGAAAAATTAAAACAATTCATGAATTTGATTTAAAATCTTATTATAAAATTGCCTTAGTAACTAAAAGAAATGTATTTGTCTTTTCTTTTCTCCTTTTTTTTAAATGAATATAAAACTACTACTTATATAAATTAATATAAAAAAAGACTTCGTTACATACTACTTAGAAGAAAAACAAATAAACCATTGTGATTAGTGAGAGAGAAAAAAGAATGTTATTCCATCTTATTCTAATTCATTGTATTGTTTATATGATCAATGCTCAAGGTAAGTTGATCTATTCAATATAATATTTACTTTATTTTATTTATTTATTCACTTTACTTATCATAGACTTCCATCATGAAACGATGAAAGTTGACTTAGTGATTTGATTTTTATTCTATGAATCTATGGTTAGTTTATTTAAATTGTAGGTTGATTTTTCTTCTTTCTCTTTGGTTCTTGCCACGTAAAGATTATGTTTGAATATCACATAGAGTAATTCATTTTAGATTAAGTAAATATATATACTCTATTAATCTTATTATGTAATTTATTATGATGTATAATTTTCTATGAACATGTTAGATACTGGTTACAATTCAATGATTAAATAGTATGAGTTCGATTCCGGTCCAAATGCCTTGGTTTGATGTTTTGATCCAGATAAATATTCTCATTTGTGATAAACTATGACCACAGATTATAATCATTCTACTGACTGATTGACAGATAAATAATGATGTTTTATGACTGTCTAATGATTATAAATTAGCTAGATGTAAATTGAATGTATTGAATGTCAGTTTCATTTCTTTATAGTAAATTCTAGTGTTTTATATATTATAATGTAGTGAACAGAAAACTGGTTGGGACAATCAACTGTATTTAGCACATAATTACAGAGTTACTTGGTAAAATAGAAAAACCATATAGTGAATTGTTAAGTTGCAAAATATCAATGCATCATATCAACCTGCACTGTTCCTGTTGCAAACATTAATCCATTGTCTCACATTTCATTGTTCATGCGTTTTCTTACAAATTGCATTGTGTTCCCGCTCTTCCATTTCTTGATCATCCCCCATCTTCTGCTGCCAGACATTACGTTCCTGACTCGCATCATATACTACTTACATCAATATAAGTAGCGCGCACCACAATAGAATTTAAACTGTTTAATTTAGTGATCTTCCTTTTCAATTCATAAAGTTGATACAATTAGCTTGAATAGTTACCAATTATAGTTAAACATGTATCTTTCATATTTAAGTAATACCATTTAAGAATATCATTTTAGTTATTATCATACTGAGGTTGATTAGTTGCATATTTATTAGATTGCTAGATTGGATATTATTAAAAACTTAAATATTTTAAGTTCAGTTTTAATAATGAGTTATATAAGAAAAGATGGATGTTGGCTAATATCGTCGTTCAGGACACACGTTTTGTCCTATTTAGGACTCGTCAGTTAGATGTATTTGCATCATAGAGTTGATATTCACTCTGAGACTCGAATCTACTACCATTCATTCCAAATGCTATCGTGTTATTCATTTCGATACTGAGTCATGTTTGTTTGAATCTTTTCATTGATGTTTAGAAGTGCAATTGATCATTCATTTTTGTTGATAATCCTTGTGATTTAAGATAATATCAAAACAATTTTCATAGGATATAGATATGCTAATAATGAATTGATCAATTACTGTCCTAAACATCAATGGGATGATTCAAACAAACAATCTTCAAAGAACAAAAACTTTCTTAATTGTATCTATTGGTTTGCCTCTAATAATGAACTGTATTAAGCCATTGAAATTGCACTTATTTTCTTAAAGAATGATCCGTAAATTTTCTTCATTTATAAATTAACACAACTAATCAATAAGTTACTAACCTATTTATGTTAAGTAATATGTATTTAAAAAGGAAATTTGGTCATTATTAAATTTTGTATAGTTTCTTCATATTAATATACTAACCGTAAACTATCACTAATTGATTCTTAGCATCATCAAACTATATGGATATCTATAATAAAATGATAAATTGTTGAAATTATCTATTTGTCTACCTATTACTTGTAACAATTTGAATAAACAGAACAGAATTATCGTTAAAGAGTACTTACTCCCGAATGCCTTGGTATGGCCGAAAGTGGAGACAGTCAACTCTCCCTCTCGAAATGCTCTCACATGGCCACGTACATACAAACACTGCCAAGGAAGTCCTATTCACTGCCTTTTCGTGGCATTACTGTTGTTTACGAAATTAAGAGGACGAAAAGCGAATTTCGAACGCTTTAACCAGGTTAACGAATATGGAGGTTCCACCTGGGAGAGTTGGAAAACCCTTATTCCAAACCAGTGGTGTACATGGGCTCCAAGATCCTGAAGGAACGAATGGTGTATGAACCAATTGTTGGTCACCGGCTACCAAAAGACTGCATCTCTTGACGTTGCTCCACTGCCTCGCGGATTAGACCTTTAGGTCGAAGACTGCAGATGTGGCCCCCTATGATAACCACCTGTTTCGGTTTGGGCACCCTGTCAGTATCACAACCCTCACATAAATCGAATGATTGACGTGACGCAAATCTATTTGGTACCTCCTTATATCAATGTTTGTGTTTAGATAAATAAATAATAAAAAGTACTGACAAATGGATTAGTAATGAAATTATTTAGCACTTAGTTTTGCATAGATTATAGGGAATAAAACAATTTCGCAAATACACCATAAGAAATATTCTAAATAAAATTACTCCTCTAACCATCTATAGGATTGTAGTGAGTTTATATGCAAATTGTTTCATTATAAATTCAGTCATTAGACTTTTCAATAAATTTGAGTTACCATAATCATGTTCAATTACATAACGAATTACTTTTTCTTGAATTGATTGTTATTGAAAGTATCTTATCATGGGATGAAGTCTATTGTTACTGGACACTTTACTTTAGAGTAATGAACAAACATATTGGAAATATGGTGTGTAAAAGAAAGAGAAAGAGTGATATGTGTAAATGATTAATCATGACGGAATTAATATAAATCTTTCAATTTTATAGTTGAATACATGAGTCAATCTATGCTAGACCACCTTAGAAAACCTGTAAACACTAGATGGCCTCTTCGTCCTAGTATGGAATTCTTCAGCAGTGCGCACCCATGATCCTGCATCCAAGACCTTCAGTTTCACCTACTAACACTTAACCTTTAGATCACTGAGCTGACTGGCATCCAACGGTGTTAATGTCTAACTCCAACCAATCCAAGATATCGCACCACCGTCCATCATTGTCTTTAGTAGGTAACTGTCTCATTGTTGATGAGTCCCATACTAGGACGAAAAGGCCATCCTATGCTTACAGGTTTTCCATGGTGATCTAGCATAGATTGACTAATGAATTCAATTATTTGAAAAAAACGCTACAATCTTCACAAACCTTCCATTCTGATAAAAATGTTTAAATTTCAATACAATTTTACAGTTAAAAACTTATATAGATATTTCAAGGAAATTATCAAATTTCTGTAATTATTAATCAGCCTTACTGTAGAATAGATTAACTAATATCCTTGTCTATTTTAAATGATATGCAACATAGAATAGTGAACATTTAATCCACCTTAATATCTATTAAATTTGCCTTAAAATGATATAAGTTATATGGAATTGAACATGTTTAGGTTTTGAAAAAAATCCGCTTCAATTAGGAATAATTTCAGATAGATTTGAGTTGATATATAGAAGGTTCATTGTTAACAATATCAATATGATTGGTTTAATTTTTTTCTTTACATTGTTAAGGAAATATGTCTTAATTAATCACTTAGTCAATATCTATAATGTAATATCGAAGTTTAAAAGTAATCATTCAAATTAATCACATACTTACATGTTAATTCGAATTCCTAGATGCTAATCACTGAGCCTACTTTTTTTATTCTAATCACCTACATATATATATGAATAATAAGACATAAGTATGTCTTATGAGCAAAGATGGATAATCACTAGAAGTGGAATCCAGGATATGTGTTTCGTCTTATCTGGGACTCGTCAATCAGATAAACCTGCATCTCAGAGTTAATGTTCACCCCGATAGTCGAACCTAGTACCATTCGCTTCAAACACCATCACGCTATCCATTTAGCTACTGAGTCGTCAACATCAATTCTGAGATACAGATACATCCAACTGACAAGTCCTAAATAGGACGAAACACGTATCCTGTATTCCATTGCTAGCCACTATCCATCTTTGTTTATAATATTTGTGAATTAAAGTAATATCGAGGTAATAGGTATAAGTCAATAATAGACTGATCAATTGCAGTGCTAAACATCAGTGTTAAGATTCAAGTAAACAATAACAAGTGGACATAAGTATATCAGTTATTTGACATGATTTATACAAACTTCATCTCGAAAACTAATCGATTATACGGGGATATTCAGTGACCAGATCTGAATGATTTAATTATGAAACTTTAGTTTTTATTCTGGACAAAAGGAATAAGAATGAAAATGTCCCCTTAAGTATGATATATTCATGTTTGTTATTATTATTTCAAATTAATTATGATTAGAGTGAATACATTAAAACAAATAATCAATCAATAGTATGTCTCAATAAAGTGCTTATGTTGTATAATCTTTATTATGAACTTCTAATGCCTTTATTGACTCAAAATAGACGTTCTCAATCTCTAAAGGAACATTAGTTAGGGAAACAAAATAAAATATACTGAATATGTTATCCCTTCCAACTTTAAGATTGTGTGTAGTACATAATTTCAAGTTTCTTTTCCAATAGTGAATATAGAACTTGAAATTTTCAGGCAAATTCAATATTAACTTCATTGAAAACAAATGCTAAGAACTTTCTTCATTTAATCTATTTATTATGGTTAACTTATATTTTCTAAATTATGATTTTTGGATTGTTAATGATGAAAAATATTTTCTTGTATTCTTTTAGGTTGTACAATGGACGATGGGAGAGTTTTATCCCCCGGTGAAGAAGTTCGATTAGCAAACTTTCCATGTGCAATATGCCGTTGTGATCCAAATACACGTGAAGTTGTTTGTGAAACAGAAACTTGTCCAAGTTTGCAATGTGGAGAAGATGAAGGACAACTTCTAGAACCTGGTCAATGTTGCCCAGAATGTGTTGGTAAATTCATTTGCACTTCTTTTTCTAATGACTGAAATGATTGTTTGATGCCTATTAAAATTATTATTCAACGATTGGTTCAAAATTAAAAAAAATTTGCCCTCCAAATTGCCATGATAATTTTAAAATAGTTTACATCACTGACTGAGTTCAGAAGGAAGCATAAAACAGTTGTTGTGTTCTAGTATGAAACTACTAAAGAGTGTGGAGTCAAGACCCAATTACATGATATAACCATAAACTTCATGTCTCAAACCAATCATATAATTTTCAGACCGATTTCTCCAGATTTTAGACGGTTATGCAGGTAAATTCAGTTTTTTGTATAAACTGTTCTCGAATTCAATGGTCTCCATAAAACCACAGTCCTGACTTAACAGTTATGAAACTATTTATTTATTTATTTTAACACATAGATATTGGTACAAGGAGGCACCAAATACATATGCGTCACACAAATCTCATTTGATATATTTGAGGGCTGTGGTACTGACAGGGTGCCCTAATCGAAACAGGTGGTTATCTTAAGAGGCCACGCCAGGAGCCTTCGACCTGAAGGTTTGATCCATAAGGCAGTGGAACATCGTAAGGAAATGTAGTCCCATGGTAGCCTGTGACCAACGCTATTTGTTCCCTCAGAATACTGGAGCCCATGTGCACCATATATATATATATATATAGACTCGGTTAATATAACATAATTGAATTAGTTGATTATTCGTAGCTGGAAACGAAAACCACAGATAAATCAATATATATCTAATACTGTCCATTATATCAAAGCAATTATCGTTGGACTTAGTTGACTAAGAGTTATTGTATGAAATGTATCAGGTAATTTACTTGTCATACATATTATAAATTAGAAAAAAATTGGATAGAATTATTATTTGTGAAACATTCCACTTAGCTAAACTGACAGAGCATCATAACAGTAAATCAAAGGCTTATGAATTTGCTTCCGTTTATTTCTATGACATCAGTAACATATTATTCTGATTTATGTTATTAATTTCAATTTTTAATGATTTACTATTAAAGCCCAATTTAATTGATGAAATACGTACTAATTCGCCATTTTTTTATACCATTCTTTGTTTCATTTCTATAAAATTAAAGCGAAGAGTCGTGTGGTAAGTACATTTTAATAATATAATAAATTATTATTCAGTATATTACTCTGCTATTGAATTCATCCGACAACTTATGTTCATTCATAAGTGTTATTTATGTTATATTTTTTTATGGATAGTTTCTTAGTTCAGGAACTTTATTTAAGCTGCTTGAAGAGTGGAATCATATGTACTTAACGGGATATTGGACTTAAAATGATTTTTTTAACCATTAATTGATCTCATGAAACTGAGATAATGAAAGTATATGAAATTTTCAATGATGTCACGAAGCTAGGATATGGTGGCAAAACTTTTAGTGATACATTTTATCTACTTATAGTTTATCAGTAAACAATAATTATCCACTAAAAACTACATGAAAGGAGAATGAATATTTCAGTAAACTAATAATTTTTGACAATGATCTCATTTTCGTTGGCATAATATCGCAATAATAAGTTATCCTTTTATTAATTAAGACGAGTATCAATCTTCTGACTTTAAGTTGAACTGTGTTCCATTAAGATACTTGTATGCATTGCGATAAATATGTTTATTGTTCCATTACAGTCAAGACAATAAATTTAATATTTAAAACAAAATAATTTAGCTGATATATGGTGAAAAACAAGATAGAATATGTGTTCTATTCGTAAAACAGAGCAATTGAAATAACCATGAAGAGAAGAGAATTATTCAAACCACTTTTAAGAAAAGAAAACAAGTCTGAATTAATTGGGATAATGAATAAGACACTAACTTGTACTGAACGATTACATAAGTAGGAACAATCGAATGTATTTGGAAACAAAATTATAGAACGTTTTAGTAAAATCTGAGAACCATAAAATAACTACTTCATTTGCAAAATATCAGTCAATTGTCTCAAGCTTGACTGTTCCTTTGTTTACACTCCAATCATTTTCTGTTCTCGTTCTCTTTTCTTCGATCTTCTTAAGATTCTGCTGCTAGTTATTTCACTTTCAGTTGGTGATACATACTACTTCTATCTATCAACATCAGTAGCACACATAACAAACTCAATAGTGAAATTGAACGGGGATTTTTTTATATCATACATCAGAAAAGAATACAGATGTTGACCATTGGATTTTTTTTCGTCGCTTCATAATAGTTGTCGACAAAAACTTTGCATAACTATTTGAAAAATGTAAAATATGTCTAGAAATGATATTCATAATGAGAGTAGTCTAATAAATGTAATGGAGAATGAAAAAAAACATAGCATTCACATAAATCTTCTTTACATACATTACTCAATAGAAAGTATATAATAATTAAGCTTCATCAATATAAGTGTCAGTTGGACATTCAGATTTGGTAAACTTATTACCAGTATACTTAATATCAAAGGGATAAACCAAATTAATACGGACGTACTGAAAGATCTGTTTTCAAAAAGGGTTATATTAGAGCTGTAAAATTAGTTAACATTCTTCATATTAAACAGAAGAGAAACCAAATTTACACTGTGCGTAGGGTGACTATTCCGATGTTTTATTTTGCGAATACTCTTCTGTACTGTTGTCGATAAGTGACTCCATGTTTGTATTCATTTATATTTAGAATAACGGCAGAATGGTTACTTATTGGTTAACCTGTTTAAGTTTTCTCTGATCGTTTTTAGTTTCAAAATACTAATCAATCTTCTGTGATTCGGATGGGAAAGTAGTATCATTTTTACTTACACACAAAAATGTCCGATTCAAATTTAATTACACAAAAACATGTACGTCATAACTAGGTCGCACCAACTAATATTCAAAGTGTGGGTACTTGCCACCAATAGACAAAAATATTAACGATAGAGATTCATATAGATTAGGTAAACCTAATTACAACATTGGATTACGATTGATTTGAGTATCATTTGTGTTAATTTATTATTCCCTGAGATGGAATACTTGTTGAATTATGGTAGATTTCTGAATTGCAATACAAAATTGACCAAGTGGTATTATAAACTACACGTTCTTTTCACTTGATCAATCTAGACTTTTAACATTTGTAGCCTATTTCAAGTATATCAGCATACCAGACAATCGTAACTTAATCATCAAATCAAATCACCATTTATTTGCTAACAGTTTGATTAACTGAAATGACAAAACAGTGTTTTTAGTATTAACTGTAGTGTTACATAAGAGATAGTGTGGTATGTGCTACTATTATATGATAGACATAAGTAGTAAATGACGTTAATCGTGAACAGAATGTCTGGCAACAGTGGGACAAGAGAATCGAACAGTAAAAAATGGAAACAAAATGCAATTTGTATGAAAATGCAAGAACAATGAAGTCTGAGTCATTTTAAGACAATTGATGTACGTTTTGTAAATTACGTATTTACTACTTGATTGCTAGATTTTATTAGCAAGTCCTGTAAGCTTGTGTCAAATACATTCGATTGTTCCCCACTGGTGTTCTGTCCACTTAAATGTTCTCGTATTTTACTTGAGTTGACAAAAACGTATCATAAGTGTAAAATTAAGCAGAGATATTCACTTAATGTTCGTTACTTTGATTTAACTTGAAACGCTCAGTTTTTCATAGTGAACTTAGTAAGTTTTAAGACAATCTACATTACATTTCACATTTTTATCTGATCAATTAGGAACCAGTACTACCCCAAGCTACACCTCGTACATATACTGACGAACCAAGGTCGACAAGAACACCAAGACCAACTGCCGAACCAGCACAAACTTTACCACCTCCACCCCCACCATTACCTGATGGGTCTCCAGGACTTAGAGGACCTGTTGGACCGCCTGGACCTCCTGGACCACCGGGAGATCCTGGTTTTGATGGTGAAAACGGATTGCCTGGTATGCCTGGTCTCCCAGGTCCAGTAAGTTTCATAATTTCAAATAATTGATTTTTTTTTTCTTGCATAATACAAAAAAAGATTTTGTACAGTTTACAAACTGTGATAAATACCAGCTTATTTAATTTTTTGGTAAACAGTTACAGAAAACATTCTTTTGATCAAAGTGTACAAACTTTCAGGTACATAGTAGAGAAGAGGCGGGAATAAACTAAAGATTTATAAGATCATTGAAAATCAATTCTCTACCTTCTTGTAAATATCATCAATTCATATTGGAATTAAGTTTTGCAAATTGTAAATTTAGAATTCATTTTAATTTATCTAGAAATTACACAAACATGGATTTATGGTTTACAGTTGATTGAACTAGATTAAGAGACATATTCATCGATAATTTTGTTACATCTCTTCATATACATTTATCAACCATAACATGAAATAGATGTAAGGTAACTTAAATATGTAACATTATAAGTCATTTAAAGCTGATAATTGACTAGTTACACAATACATGAAAATATTGTTTATATCTGTTTAGATAGAATATTTGATGAACACTCAATTACAATTAGTCATATAATATTTATCATTGTGAACAAGGGTAATTTTACATGGGATTTCAAAAGAACCAGATACCATTCAGGCTTTCACATGATAACTCAAATAGTACAGTTCAATCTCGTTTAACAGGAGAGCCAGATATTGCTCAGGCTTAAATTTCATAGCATGAGCAGTACAGCTCAATACTACTTCACAGGAAAACCAGATAATTAGATCTGAATCTTTGGTGAATATGATGTATAAAATGAAATTTTACCCTAAAATTAACTTTCAACCCTAAGCTTACACTGTTTAGATTACTCTTAGTTGGAGTTTTAGATATCTATGTTAGTTTAATGACTAGAGCTAGACGATAGTCTAATTTATAAAAGGATTGAAGATACAAATATTGAAACACCTTTAGTGGATATCTGAACAAATTCTAATTTTGCTTCAGATTGCTATGTAAAAGAATTATGTCTCAAAACAATCAATTATTTTCATTTTCTGCCAATTACAGATGTTGGCTTCACACACTTAAACCATACTGTAATGAATGAGATTAAACTATAGAATCTCTTGATAAAATATAAATATTTAATTTTCATATTTCCATCATTTGTCCTTCACGTTCTGTATGATTCTTCTAGTTCAAAATTCCTTTCTATTTTCGTTTCTATTCAATTCGATACTCTTAGCCTTCTGTTGCCAGGTTTTCCACTTCTGATTAGCATAACATACTACTTATGCCGACAGACATAAGTAGCATACACTACAGTACTATCAAAATAATATAGACAGGTGCAAAGGGAACCTTGGTAGAAATAATTATCTCATCATAAGCAAAGATGGATAGTGACTAGCAGTGAAATCCAGGATGCGTGTTTCGTCTTACTTGGGACTCGTCACTTGGATAAGCTTGCATCTCAGAGTTGGTGTTCACCCTGAGAGTCAAACCCAGTACCATTCGCTTCAAACAACATAGCGTTATCCACTTAACTATTGAGTCCTCTGAGATGTAGATACATCCAACTGACAAGTCTTAAATAGGACGAAACACATATCCTTAATTCCATTGCTAGCCAAGTCAATAATAGACTGATCAATTGCAGTCTTAAACATTAATGCTAAAAGATTCAAGTAAACAATACCATGTGAATTATCTCATTGTTACAAAGTTTGAAATTATACATTAAATTGGTTAACTTTTGTAAATAACCAAAGTTGGTCAAATATTTTGTGTGTTTGTTGTTGTCGTTGTTGTTGTTGGAAATATTAAACTCTATTGATTTAGTCCTGTTGATATTAATCAATAATTTTTCACTTTTTTTTACTAATACCCTAAGTAATTAGAAACAAGTGCTCTATAACTTGAAACAATAATGACTATAAACTAAATAAGAAATTCAACAGATAAACTAATCAGCTGAAAGGAAGCCGAAAGAAATTACATTTGATTAGAGCGCCAAATTTAAAAACATGACTTTGATTATATATCATTTTTTTGATGGAGTTTTGTTCTCTGAGTTGGATGGTTACGACTAAACCATCCAGCTCAGAGAACAAAACTCCATCAAAATTATCCACCTGATCTACAAATCTTCTCCACTAGCTCAACATTTTTTTTAGAATTTAGGATCATACATTAATCAATCGTTTAATATTAATGTCAATTTTATCTAGTTCTTAGGTCTAACCATAATCTATCAATCAATTTACAATGTAATTTCTAATTTAAGTAATGTAAAATTATAGTATATCATGTTTTCTATCAAGAAGTTAACGGAAATCGACTAACATTGAACGTGGATAATAGGGTGATGGTAATACCTTTAACTATAACAGTGGATAATTCAGAACTCTACAGTTCTGGATTCTTGTTAGTGACATCTGTGATAGTTATGTATTCTTTTTCTAGCTCTATGAAAACCTTGTATTTTTATTATTCCATAGACAGATTTGTACTGTGGACAACGTGAGTTTTAAAGAACAAGTTCAATAACCTATACTATAAGATGTTATGATTTAAGACAGTGTGACTTATATTACTGTAGGATGTTAGTTGTTTCATCTACTAAAGATGTGATCATAAAATTAATTCTTTGGGATAATGATAATAAAGTTTGTTAAATACTTTACTAAAAGATCAATGTCATAATAAACCGTTTGTGAAGTGTTCTTACCAATAATTAATGAATAGTTATGACCCACTATTGTGTTTATCAAATCTTTTCATCATTTAGATGATGTATGTAATTTTAATTTTTTTTCCAATAATTAACTAATTTTAGCCCCCTCAAGATGTCGATGACTACATGCAACGTTCTAGAGCAATGGTAAAAGGTCCAGTTGGTGAAAATGTAACCATGTATCAAGATATCCGGGTAACAATGGTGAGTTGTAGTATATATACTTACTTACTTACTTACACCTGTTACTCCCGATGGAGCATAGACTATCGACTAACATTCTCCAGCTCACTCTGTCTTCGGCTTTCCTTTCTAGTTCTATCAAATTGTTGTTCATTCTTCTCATATCTGTCTCCATTTCTCGGCGTAATGTGTTCTTTGGTTTTCCACTTCCCCTTTGGCCTTGAGGATCCTAAGTGAGGGCTTGCTTTGTGATGCAGTTGTGTGCCTTTCTCAATGTGTGTCCTATCCACTTCCAGCGCTTCTTCATGATTTCTTCATCCGCTGGAATCTGATCTATTCTCTCTCATAGTAGATTTTTGTTGATAGTGTCTGGCCAACGGATCCGAAGTATTTTGTGTAGACAACTGTTAATAAACACTTGTATCTTGGTTATATCGAATAATGTGTTTAATTGAAAATTCTGTAAGTGAATAAATATGTATTGAAGTAAATAATTTTAAGATGAACAACACTCTTCTACACTTATCTATTCAAGAAAGGAAAAAGCTCTTAGGAAGTAGCAAGTAGATAATTCAACAAATCAGTTATATCAAAGGGTTTTTTGTGGATATTATAGTAATTTTTAATAGTTGAGATCATGAGTCAATTGAAGCTTGACTATCATGCAAAACCCGGAAGCACTGGACGGCCGTTTTGTCTTATTCTGTGACTCCTCATCAGTGCGCATCCAGAATATTATTAATTGTAGCAATTCCATCTTGTAATACTGTTCATTCAGTAAACTATGGTTTCATCAATAACAAGTTCTACTCAACTGAATTTATTCAACTTACACTGATGGTTAGTCAACTATAAATTGATGATATAAAATCAGTGTATTCAGATATACTGATTTATTTTTGACGTACTACAAATCCTCATGCATTCTCTTTACCTTTTTCTTGCATCGAGTCATCTTAGTTTTGTTCAGATTTACTAATATTTAATGGTAACTTGATTTGTTTTACCATCAATCTTTGCTTATTCTACAACCTGTTGAAGAAGTATTTTGAAGACGAAACTCTTAGAAGTTTATATTTACTAACTAACTAATAGTTAAAATGCTAAAAATTTTAACTTTATACATCTTTTTAAATACATATAATAACAGTAAAGTTATTAGTCTGATAGACTGTTGAAATAGTTCGGTTACTTGACGACTGCTATAATATCGTATTAAGTTTGATTTTAATGTTAGGTTACATGCGCTAAAGTTGACCAGAAGTGGGCATATTAAAAGTATGTAGCTTTAATCATTGAAATTTCTGTGCAGTTGTTAGTTATTCACTAATCTAAAGGCGTAACAAACGTTTACTATATTTAACGAGTTTTTCCATATGCAGAATAATTTCGTTTAACCATTTGTTTAAAAAGAGTATTAATTGTTCATTTAATTTGGTTTTACAGTGTTATGGCTCCTTTAATACAATGATATTTTTAGGACTTTCAATCCTTGTCTCATGAAATACAAATTTTTTTCATGCATTTAGTCGGAACAAGTAATCTTTACCTGAGATTATTTATTAGTTCTGAAACTTTGCTTTTTAGCTTTTATTTTGCATCTTATAAGTTCAAATCAGTTAATAAAACTACTGTTTATCTCATTAGGGACCACCTGGTGAGCCAGGTGCACCCGGATTCCCAGGAGTCATAGGCACACCTGGACCGATCGGACAACCTGGGCTGATGGGTGATCCCGGTCCATCGGGAAACCCTGGATCTAGAGGACATGCTGGGCCTGTTGGAAATGATGGAAAAGCTGGACCGATAGGAAGACCTGGGTTAAAAGGTGCTCGAGGACCACGTGGCATACCTGGAGTCATGGGAGAAGCTGGGCTTCCTGGAGCAATGGGTCTACGAGGTGAACGAGGAGAACGTGGAGAAGAAGGTATCAAAGGAATGGCAGGTGATTATGGGCCGAAAGGACTACCAGGACCTGTAGGACCGAAAGGTTCGATCGGTCTTCAGGGTCAACGAGGTGAACCGGGCCCCAGAGGATTCATGGGACTGCCAGGACCTATAGTATGTCTCTGTTTTTATCAGTTAGTACTTTTATAATTATGAAGTTTATACCTTTATCATTTATAACAATTCTAGTAGTGTACTTATGTTGATATGAGATCAGACTTTCAGCGAACAGTTTTGGAAGACAGTATATCTTCTCTTGTATACCATAAGCAACTACTCTAAGTCTTCTATTTACAAAATATTTCAAGCGGTGACTAACTTATATATATTTTAAACCATTTTTAAACTTCATGTATTTAGTTCAGTATAGTGTTCCCCACTAAAAAGATTAATTTAGTATTTAATGAGCGCTTTGTATCATACATATCGATCGATTCTTTTCACGTACAGTGCGACTGTAATGAACGAAGACTCTCTGGGAAAATCAATTTATGTCTGATGGAAAAATCATACAGTGGCTTAGTAAAACATGAAATCATACATTAAATAAATCATTTGCACATCTTCTTTAAGTTGTCCTTTTCATACTCCATTATCTCCTTAGTTGTATCGTTATTTCGTTTGCTCTCCGATTTCCTTCCTGTTCTCTTTATTTCAATCTTCTGCTGCCAGACATTTCACTTCTGATTTTCGTTGTGTACCACTTATATCTGTCAGTATAAGTAGCATGCACCACACGACCACCGACTAACGCTATTTGAAATTATTAATTACAACAGACTCGAGGGAGAATAGGACTTAAAACTGTAATATTATTAAAGGAAAAAAGGTATGGTATAAGTGGTTTATGGATTTTCAGTGAAACCAAGAAGTTATTTATGAATAAAATGATGTAAAGTAATATGGATAGAAACGGATATGGGATGTAAAAATATCTGAAGAGTCACAAAGCTAGAAGTCACTAGACATATAAAGAGTTATGATTAATTAAAATCAGGCTTGAATTCTGACTACAGAAATAAAAGGGTAGTATCTAGGTGTTCATATAAATATCAAAATTTTATGCTGCAAACCACGAATGACTTGAATAGTTTGATATACTTATATATAAAAGATTTCAAGTTTATGGTTAACAAGTAATTTCTTATATTTGTTATCACATATTAACATCTTTATATTGTTGTTTATTTTTAACTTTTAGGGTGTTGATGGGACAGATGGTGTTCCGGGAGCACCAGGTGATCCTGGAGCACCTGGCCCCCAGGGAAGTCCTGGGTTGCAAGGCCCAGAGGGACCTAAAGGTCAACCTGGTCTTCCCGGCCCTAAAGGAGAAGTCGGTTTCCCTGGATTACGTGGAGATAGGGGGGCGCCAGGACCACCTGGCAATCCTGGAAAACAGGGTTCACATGGACCTCCAGGGGCAATCGGTAATAAAGGAGAGCCGGGAGATCGAGGACACCCCGGAAAACCTGGGATGATGGGAATCAGAGGATTTTCTGGTGGAGAAGGAGAAATAGGTCTTGTGGGTGCGAAAGGACCAGAAGGCTCCGTTGGATTGCAAGGTGCGCAAGGTTTGCCAGGACCAGAAGGTATCAAAGGTCGTCGCGGTGAGCGTGGCCCACCGGGACCAGTAGGTGAACAAGGTAGTAGAGGTATACGTGGTTCCGCTGGGCTATCAGGAGCCCCTGGGCACGAAGGCAGTCGCGGTCTTCCAGGACTTCGTGGTCCTCCGGGTCCTGAAGGCCCACCAGGTGCTATTGGTCCAGGTGGAGCACCTGGTATAACTGGTCCCGTTGGTGAGAAGGGAGCTCAAGGAGACATTGGCCCAAGTGGTCTCAAAGGTCCTACGGTCCTAGAGTAAGTTAACGATATTCCACTTTTCAATATTCGGTTAAAGTAAATCTCTATCACACTAGAAATAAAAGAATTTCATAAATATCGAGAAGTTTAGATGTTATTTGAACAATTAACTTCAGTAGTAATGTTCTTTTATTGATGTTTTTCGTTGAATCAATAATAATCTTCAGTGATTTGATTAATTATGTACTAGAACACAGAAAATTACAAATTTATAGGACTAAGATAGAAAGTAATCACAATACTACAGTATTGAACTACTTCAAATAATTAACTATTTATGCATCATTGTTGATTTATATGTAGTGTGAAGGGGTTTCACTTTGATTATTGCATAATGTTCTGTGTAGTTTAATGAAAATTAAAGAAAATACTTAAGGTTTAACCATTTTATGACAAGTGTCATTATTAGAAAATATTCTCAAGAGTTAATCTGACAATCGAAAAATAGTATCATGACGAAAAATCATGTCGATTAAAATATATTAGTATAGGATTGTGGAGATTATAAAGTTTTTGATTGAGATCATGAACCGACTGACGTTAGACCACCATTGAAAACCCGGGAGAGGGATCGTGGGTGCACACTGCTGAAGAGTCCTACAATAGGACGAGACGGTCGTCCAGTGCTACCAGGTTTTCAATAATGATCTACCATCAATCAGTTCATGATCTCAATTAAAATATATGAAATAGTCTTATAAATCATACTTTAAAAATAACTCACATATCTCAATTTTTAGTATATTTATTGTGATATAACAGTGTGTCGAAGTATTTTTTTTAGGATACACGTATAAATTTCAGTCTTCAATATCAATATTGGGGAATTACAAATCCTTACTTATACCTTTATATCCGTTGAGCAAGTTATTGGCTATTTGAATCCAGCACTATAGTAGATAAAGCGCTAAGTTTGAAGTGAAAAGTACTGAGTTCAGCCCTCATTTTGAACATCAACATTGGTGCTGGTACATCCGAATAGCGAGCGTCCAATAGGAAAAATAAGTAGGCACAATAGATTCCACTGCAAGCTACATACCAAATGTACAAGATTTAATAATCGTCACTCACTCGATGATACTCCAAAATTTAACGTTGATTTTCATCATGGACTAATACAATGTGGAGAGCAATGGAAAACTAAAAAGTGTTGTACAGCTGTAGAGTCTGAATATAAGACCTTTCAGGATCTTTTAAGTCATGTGGAATTGAACGTTGGACTTTCAGGTTTCGTAGTACAAACCATATCTTTAAAGTATCAATTAAAAACTGAATGGTCCAAATTTCTTTAATTTAGTCAATTGATATTTGAAGGAGATCTAATAGTTGAACTAAAAACCAGCACATTAGGTTGTATCATATCTAAGTAATGAATCTCGGAATCATAACTAAATGCTAATACTGGCTGCATTAGTATAAAATACCAAAAAAAACAATAACTTAATACAAGTTTATAAATTATCTATAAGTATAATATTCAATTGTTTAACACATGGTAATGTAATATTCATTTCATTCAGGGTTCAGTTGGGAATCGTGGACAACCAGGACCAACTGGTGAACCTGGTCCTAAGGTTAGTTTTGAAGTTGAAAAAACTATTATGTTTCTTGTTTTTAGTAAAAAAAAATAAATAAATAAATTCAATAACCAGTAAGCGCATTTGTAAAGTCGTCAGTACTACAACACTGTACAAAATCTTAGTTTTCATTGGGAATATTATATATTTAAATATATTTAGGAAGGATAATGTGTATTATTATCCAATTAAAGGAGGTCTATAAACAAAATTCGAAATTGTAGTGATTATATCAAGCTCAAAAGATTGAGCTTTCTAAACTTATTCAATATAACAATTGTAGATATAGAAACAAAGTATAATAACATAAGTAACTGATTTCGTCATTAAAGAAGTATTATATACAATTTCCTTTGTGATGATCCCATTTCATCAAACTCTACAGTCGTATTAATAGTGACATAATCTATTGAAAAATATTAAGGCCTTGTGTTCGAACTCCGCGAGCTGGATCGTGAATGCACACTACTGAAGAGTCATACAATAAGAAGAAACGGCCATCCAGTGCTTCCAGGTCTTCAATGGTGATCTAACATCAATCGATTCGTGATCTCGATAAAATTTTCGTCTGACTGTCACTATTCTCGAAATTTACTTTTGTACTAGCTACCATAGCTCATTGAGGTAGACTCTAGCTAAATATGTGTAATACATTTCTCAAACAACTCAGTGAGGAAAGGTTTAATACCTTATCAAATGACTTACTATCGTCTTCTAGTATCGTATGACTGATCGCAACTTTACTCAAATGAGGGTTCTAGAGTATACATCATCACTTACAAAGGGCTTATGATCAGATACTATCAACCAACTCATGTCTCTAACCTCAAAATATCACGTCTCCTAGCTATGAAGATAGATAGACCAAACTGATGCTCTGTTCTTTATCATCGAAACGGAGACCTCGCCCAAGCCACTGGTTAATCAAGGTATTAAGATTCAAGTGACTGCTTTGTACAGATACTGGTAACAATCCTCTAACGCTGACGAGGCTAAAAACGAATGAAGTGATTTGCACGCTCGACTATTTTACTTTATAATATGGAACTAAGCATTAAAGAAAAATCTGTCAGGATTAGAAGTCAAAGTAATGATAATAGTATCGGTTAAACATTTCAACATTCGAATCTTTAATGTCCTCCGACAACGATGTGAGCCAATCAATCCTCCTATCCTAATTCAATATTTTTATTACATGGATTATTTTTCTGACCTCATATTTCCATTTCCTCATTATCACACTAGGGTCCACTTGGATCTATTGGTCGACCTGGCATGCCTGGTGCAGCAGGAATTCCTGGTCCACACGGCCCTCAAGGAGGACAAGGGTTGCGTGGTCTACCTGGTTCAGTCGGGAAGACCGGTGACCCTGGAGCAGTTGGATCAAGAGGTCCCAGGGGTGACAGGGGTCCACGAGGGGAACCCGGACCTCCGGGTCCATTTGGACCGTCAGGTGAGAAAGGCCAACGTGGACAATCTGGCAAACGTGGTCCTATGGGAGCAGAAGGTAGAGTTGGTCCCGAAGGTCCACCAGGGACACCTGGGAAACCGGGTGATCCCGGGGCTGCTGGAGAACCTGGGCATATCGGTCCACCAGGACCTCCAGTAGGTGACATCTGTTTGTTTTCCGTAATGATGAAGTTATTTGCATATACTACTCACAGTTCGGTATCAAATACAGTTAAGTAGAAATATCTAATGGCTATCTTGATCAATGGTTACATTTTGAGTTAGATATTGAGAAATTATGCACTCACCTATCTATAAAGAAATCCTTCACGTCGATTGGATGACTTATTCAGTGTACAGTAAACCGTAGAACCATGTACCTATTTATATTCGATAATTTTGTTGTTTGATTATATTTTCCTTGAAAAAGCTTGGACCAGATTGCCAGGCGAAACGTTGGATTTACTTAAAATTCATTCGCTGAGATTTTACAAATATATTCTTCTTTTTAATGTCTCAAATTAACTCGGCGCCCAAATATTGTGAAACTATTCGTTCAAATTTAGACGAAAGTTCTTATTTACTCACTATGTCTGTTTTTAAGATCTGGAAAAAAATCATGTAAATGTTTACTTACAAAAAAATTCGCGTATGTGAGTGTGGATACTCTGTTTGCACACTGTATAATATTATTACAATTAGTTTTCTTACCATTTGTTAGGGAATGTGATTTTAACTGAAATCCTAACTGTTAAAATACTCTAATATGTAACAATAGTTTATTTTTATATTAAAAAAATTCATTACACAGATTTTAGTCTAGATTTTCATGAAACCATAATTTTTGCATTGAAATGTACATTGAAACGTAGATGTTATCAAGTAAATCTATTAACAGTTCCGTTTACACAACCAATCGACTTTGAATACATCTCAGTCCTAAAGATGGTCAGTCATGACCCGGTTAGCTCAACGGTAGTGTATTCGACCGTGAAGCAAAGAGATATGAGGTTGATTCTACTGAGGAGCATCATTTCACCCAAGATTACTCTTAAACCTTGCTAATGAATGACAGACAGCACGAAATCTAGGTCTAAGTTTTCCTGTCAACTGCTTTCAACTGCCATCTTACATTTTCATATAGTACATGGATTATATACTCAATAGCGATGACATAATAATCAGTGTCATTCTTTTTAAACCTTTACGCAGACAATACTTTATCACAAAAACTTGAAGTAAGAAATATCCATTATGTTAAATGTTTTGGAGTCAGATGGTACTATTCTTAATGTCAAGTGATTAAAGAGATTATCACACAACCATAAACCTTGGTTAGTTATTCACTTCGACTTATTCATAAAATAAATCTGCATACTAAATCAAATTCTAGCATAAATAAACCACGCTCATATGGGCAAGAGTAAAATCAAGAGGTTTATAGTTGAAAGTTTCCTTTAATCTCTTCTAATTTATAATTCTTCACAGAATAAAACTACGAAAGCCGGATTTGAATTAGTACAAATAATGATAGCAGCTATCTCTTGAGAAAAATCTATGAGTAGTCAATACAAGGCTTATTCATTTGTTCATTTGCACTTTGTCAAATAACTAAGCACGATTATTTACAAGTATCAATGTATTACTGAAATAAGTTGAGAACAAAATATGTTTGATAATAATATTCGCTAAAATGGTAAGAGATATGACATGTCAAAGGTTAATGGAAATAATAATATCAGAACTATTAGTACTTATGTAATAATTTTATGAGCTCACTTTTCTTTTGGATTGTCATTGTCTCCAATAATCAGTTAGGTAAGTGTTCTACTGATCTGAGCTATATACATGTAAAACCTTTGTAATGAAATAAACATTTTCGTCCGGTGAGATTATAATTTATGAACGACCTTGAGCAACGCTAAAATGACCCTGAAAATGTCCATCTAGTTACTAGGGCTAAATGAGGGCTATAAAGCAGTATTAAGAATAAGAATTACGATTTACAATTGATGGTAAGGGTTGGGAATTAGACTTGTGGTTTCCATCACGAACTGACATAAACTAAAATGCCGAAACGCTATTTAGACAAATGGATGAATGAATTTCGCGCCAAAATCTGAGACATGTTATTCCAAATCTCATTGGTTCGTGCATATATATAAAAGTATCACATTTCACCTTATTGTTTAAGTTTCTAACAGCAGCAAAAAAAGCAGGAAGATAGTTAGGAAAACTCAGAATTAGGCAGTAGCAACAACTAGCTAAAAACGACTGTTGCACGTCCTGTTTATTTATAAACTCATAAAACTGTTTTGTAGTGGAAAATGATTTTTTTGTAACTTTTAGGGAGAACGTGGAGCCCCAGGACAAATGGGCCCACCTGGCCCACCTGGAAGGGCTGGAGACAAAGGAGCTTCAGGTCCAGTTGGACGTGATGGGCTCAAGGGAGACAGGGGTGAAAAAGGTGACATGGGAGACAGTGGGACGGTTGGTGTTCCTGGCCTTGTTGGTAATACTGGAATTCGTGGTGAGAGAGGCGAAAAGGGCGATAGAGGACCCACTGGGCCACGAGGGGAACCGGGCCCAGTGGGAGCTCCAGGGCAGAGAGGGTCAGACGGCCCTATGGGGCACCCTGGACCGCAAGGACGAACTGGTAACAAAGGGATATTAGGAATTCGTGGTTATCAGGGCGACAAAGGGACACCTGGGGATCAGGGACCACAAGGTATTCCGGGTGATTCAGGTATACCAGGGCCACCCGGCCCACCTGGTTCTGTCGGAATGAAAGGAGTTAAAGGGGAAATGGGTCCACGTGGACCTCGTGGTGAGGCTGGTAACATGGGAATAAAAGGAGTTCAAGGACCACCTGGGCCTAAAGGTCACCCTGGATTACCAGGTCAGCAGGGTGATAGAGGCCAACCAGGTGTACAAGGAGATCAGGGGTCGGAAGGTTTAATTGGAGAACCTGGACCCCAAGGACCACCAGGAGAAAATGGTCGACCAGGCCCCCCAGGACCTGCTGGACAAACTGGGCCTAAAGGTGAGGCTGGGGACCCAGGACTCGAAGGACCCGCTGGTTCAGACGGAATGGCTGGACTTCCGGGTCCTGCAGGTGATAAAGGGGAACGAGGAGACCCTGGATTACCGGTAAGATTACACTGCTATTTTGAGTGAACCCTAATTATTTACAATATATATATCAACTGGCATATTATATTACTTGTACGCCACAGTTACACAGTATTTAAATGTATTATTTTCAAGTAAGTTTTATCTCAGAACATTCCCGTCTGTTGTGAATTTTCCACTTCATAAGAGTATATCTTTACTGGTTATTTTTTGGTGTTGTAATTATTTTGATCATACACACTATAAGTACAGTCGTTTTGTTGAAATGGCTAATCTAGACTACTTTTGGATATTACTTATATTTTACCATAGTAATGTTCTTTTCTCAGAAAACTAAAACACTAAAAGAGTAAATGTAGATGTAATCTGTATCATTTGGATAAGTGTGAATAACTGACAACTTAATTAAACCTAATATTCCATTAACCAATGAAGTAAAATATCATAACGACAAAAACTGGCGCTTGTAATAAAAAAAGCATTGAAATCTGCATGATACAAAGAAGAAGATGAAAATTTATAGCTAATGAATATTTTAATTAACCCCCCAAAAATATGACAACCACTTAACTACAATACATTGATTTGTATAGCGAATGTATTGAAATTTAATGGTTAGTCAAATAAATAAAATAAGATGAAATGTTAGAAATGAATTTTATGCAGAATTCATGCAAAACTTATGCTGTACGTTGTACTGAACGAAATTCGCACTAAATTGTCACTAAACGAACTATATATATAAATCATACTGAATTAGTTGAAATCGATGTTAGACCAATATTAAAAAGTTGGAATCACTAGACAGCTATTTCGTCCCAGTACAAAACTCTTTTCGTGGTCCAGCATCTGACTCTAGTTTGATCATATGAAGATGCTATGAATATAAATCTTCCATTTAAGGCTGAATATTATCTAGGCTAACCCCATTTGTGTGACGGCGGTAATAAAGAGCAAATACGGGTTCCATTGTAGGGATTTATTTCATGCATTCGTTTATCATGACAGACATTTCAAATAAGAAGCGGCAAAACGAAGCGAAGAGGAGCAGAGAATGCGAGTAAGCCAACTCGATTGGACAAAGCATGACTCAACATTTATAATCAGGCAAAAATAAGCCAAATACATGTGATGAACAGGGTAAGCAATACAGAAACACACGCTTATATAGAAAAGTCAAGGTTACCAAGTGAATAATTAACAAGTTCAAAATCCGATTCAAGAAGAATGAATAAACTAGTCCGTCCGGAAGCTAGAGTAACCTATATGGGTTTGACGCAGTAATAGACACTACACTCCTCAGAAGTGCACGCTCACTACATTGCAAGTGGGAATCGAATCCCGAGCCTACGATCTTGCGCTCGAACGCTTAGCCTCTAGACTACTGGGCCTGGATCTAATGTCGTTAGTATCTACCTTCAATTGCGCGTGAAACCGAAGATCCTTTGTTCGACTCCCACACGCAGGGTCGTGAATGCACACTGCTAAGGAGTCCCGTACCAGGGAGAAATGGTCATCCAGCGCTTCCAGGTTTTCAGTTGTACTCTAACATTGATCTGTTCATGATTTATCAAGTAAAGCTTTGCATAGATGGTGTGTAAGAGGTAGTTTTGCTATCCAGGAGCCAACATCGAAGTAGATTGAAAAGAGTTCAGCTTCAAGTTATTTAGGTTTACACTACAGACAACAATTTCAACGACTACTGTATTTTTTATTTTATAAATTAATCTCATCACTTTTCATAAACTGAACAACTAGCAGTAATTAATGTTTAATCTGAATTATCGGTATAGAGTTGTGCAGATTTTAGAGTTTTTATTGAAATCATGAACCGATAACTGTTAGACCGCCATTGAAAACACAGAAACAATGGACGGCCATTTCGTCCTGGTATGGATGTGCACTACTGCGAAGTCCCATACTAGGATGAAACAGCCGTCCAATGCTTCCAGGTTCTCAATAGTGCTTTTGCATTGATCGGTTCATGATCTCATTAGAACTCTGGATCAATTAAATCACTTTTTTCTAATTGATTCACTATGTATATGAATTGTATTGATGAATATAAAAAAGAAACGGATTATCTTACACCTACATGGATTAACTAGATCTGTCTAATAAGCTCAGCTACTATGTTGCCGGTGAATACATAATAATTTTTCGAAATATTTTAAGACCCATTTTAATGAATGGTATCTAAATACCCTCTTATTTCATTAATCCACTAAAAGAACGAAATAATTTTTCAAAAAATTATTTTATCTGTTTTTATAGACTTTTATTCCATAATCTAATATGATTAAACTATTTAAAAAGTAAATATTAGAATATTATTTTTATCTCGATAACCTTTTCTCCCATAGGGTACAGTAGGTCCAATTGGACCAGATGGTGATCAAGGACCAAGTGGTGCACCGGGAAAAATTGGACCAACGGGACCACCTGGTAATGTGGGGAAACCTGGCGAAATGGTAATATATGCATTGTTTTATTCTTTTAATCTGGTTAAATAAAATTGATTTAATATTTTAGTAGTAACTTCTATTTATATAAAATAAAGACGTTGTGACTGATTAAAAACTTATTGCGAAAGTCTGTATCTTTGATATTCTGATAGCTTTGCTTAATATTTCCAGGGTCCGCCAGGAAATGCTGGTTTACCTGGAAGAACAGGTTTACCTGGTCCTCCTGGAAAAGACGGTCAGATGGGAAAACAAGGTCCTCGTGGTGAAGAGGGACCTCGAGGACCAGACGGGAATGCAGGAATGCAGGGCCCACCCGGGGCTTCAGGTGTTAAGGGTCCTCCAGGAAGCAGAGGACCAACTGGTCCAACTGGAATCCGAGGACCGCCTGGACTAATTGGACAACCTGGTCCACCAGGTAAACAAGGAAGTCAAGGAAGACCTGGAAAACCAGGTCCAGATGGATTTGAAGGGAAACGAGGTCCACCGGGTGAAATAGGAGCACCTGGAGTTCCTGGAAGCAAAGGACCAGTGGGAGACGAAGGAGAACCTGGCTCAAGAGGGGCATCCGGAAACATGGGTCTTACTGGACCACCTGGTGATGGTGGACCTCCTGGATTGCCAGGAAGTCCAGGTTCAAGAGGACCACAAGGACCAATGGTAAGTTATTGTACGACATTTAAAAATTGTGGCCACATTCCTCTTAGTTGCTTATTTACTAAGAAAACAAATGTATTTTAGCCTCTCTTTTTAAATTATGTTGAGTGGATACGACACGATAGTCAAATAACTGATTACACAAAACCAATTTATTCTGAGTTGGAAATTTCTTTGACAAAGCTGTCTCCTGAATATTAGGATGAAAATTTCCGCAAATTTACATTAAAGACCAGATCAGTTTCCCCGATGACTGAATAACTAGAAGGAATTATCAGATTTGAAAAAAAGTTTTAGAAGGTCACTTAAAAATTACAGATGTAATTCTTCAATAGCTCAACTTCAAGAAATGGTTATTTAACCAGATTTCAACATTTGGCTGTCCAACTAACGTGGCATTGAATACTTTACTATTTCGAGTATCTGAAATAAATTTGAAACTTAACCAACAATTCATTCTTGTAATTTAATTTAGCAAAAAACACTGTGCTATCAATTTGAACGACTTTGATAGTTTAAATTCTATTAAGATACATGCTTTCATTCAACTTCAACTATCATTATGGTATCAGTAACGAAATGATAATCCAAACGCTAATTTTGATACGTTTATTTTAAATTGGCCAAATCTAACTTTATTTAAATAGATTTATGAAAGTTTAGTAATTTTGATAGGTATTTCTCATAGCATTTGATAATTATAAAAACTAGTAAGCTTTAAACAGATTGATAGAACTAGTATAGGGGTTGTGGAGATTATTATGTTTTTGACTGAGATCTTGGACGCGCACTGCTGAGTAGTCCCACAATAGAACGAAACGGCCGTCCAGTGCTTCAAGGTTTCCAGAGGTGATCTAACACCAGTCGGTTCATGATCTCAATCAAGACTGATAGAATTCGATCACCACTAAAGTCTAGATGAGCACATCATTGATACTACTCAGTAACTATTTCTTTGCATATCAGAACTGTCCCAATAGTGAGCATCTACAATCGCAGATATGACGAAATTTAACGCTTTAGAGTCTGTTTAGAGCATGATGCTTTTGAGCCGTCAAGTTTAAATCCAATGATTCGAATTTTTTATCATTCTTTTATTCATATAACACAATCATTTACTAGTATTATCTGTAATTTACTGTTTCACTCATCAGTCGATTGCTTATGGCTACTCCTTACAACTTTAATCAGAGGGTAGCTACTCGTGATAATTAATGATTTATGGCCTACTACTATGTAATTCGCAAGATGTTATCTGACAGATTGATTAATGTAGGTTATCTCCTAGCCAACTATATCGAACAGAAGTATTCATCAAACTGAAATCAAACATTATTCATCTATTACAATATTATTTTTAGATCTAAATAAGAGAATAATCTGTGTACAGTTGTACCACACAGCCATATTTTAGATATTTCAAGTATATGTTTTATCTCATTATTACTTAACTTAACCAAAAGCACTACTCAATAGTAGAAAACCTAACTTTGTGCACTTAAAATATCACCTTTGTAAAAATTGCGATTAAAGAGCTCAACAGGCAAATAATGTTTTTTTTTACCAAATCTTCAATTAAAAATTGTCAAATCACGTACGTTTTCTATGTGTTTAGCTGTGTATTTAATTGTGATATATTTAATCATGTCATTCAATAAATGAATTCCTAGTGTCCCTGATGACTAGATACTTGATTTTTTAGTCAATCATATTGTTATATATACTGATGAATAACTTTTGATGTTACTTGCCTAGGGTGAAGTTGGCCTAAAAGGTGAAACGGGTCTTCCAGGAGTTCCAGGACCAATTGGGCAACCAGGACCAATGGTAAGTGATAATAGTTGATTGACTAATATATTTATTATATAAAAGTAAACAACTTGATCAATGAAATATGTAACTACTATGTTAGTCATCTAAGACAATCTGTTCGATTCTTAGCATAAGAGATCGACATTGATTGAAATGTAATTACCTGATGATTACAACTTTTCAAACACACTCACAAGGTTGTGTTACCTTAAAAAGTAAATAACTTGTGTGAAGGGTAATTCTCACACAATTTGCTGTAACGATATTCAACTTGTCATCGAAGGATGAAATGTTTATCGTTACTTTTAGGCTACTGGAAGTTGCGAAAGTATGTATGATATTTTGTTTTTGTATGTTCTCATCGTTATTTATTTGGGGATATTTACGTCGTTTAGTTTTATTGTAACGTTATTGAAATTTTCACAGGGACCACCAGGTATTCAAGGTCCACCGGGTGAACCAGGACCGCCAGGAAATGATGGTCCTCCGGGAGCCATTGTAAGTGAATTTTATTCTTGTATACAGTATAATTTTTAAGATTTTGGAGTGAAATTCTGTTCGAAATCAGTGGTTATGTAAAATATTTTATCATAGAAAATGAACTGTTTGTTCTTACTAGTATTTGTTAAGCACTGGTACCAGAGTTATTCAAACTAATTCGATTAATCAGATAAATTAATTTTTGTTAGGTCCCGATAAACATAATGAATGTTAACTTTGGGATCCTTTTATGGACCAATACTTAACGTATATTTTTATCGTATAATTGTTATGTAACTAAACTGTTCATACTCATGCCCCTCTTATTATGAGCTTTATTTTACCCTATGAACTGTTATTATACGATTTTCCATTCTTGAATTATTCCCTGTCTATTAATCAATACCTCCCACATTCACAGCCACACTTGGCCAAATTTTGTACAAATGTTATTTCCTATTTTATGGTACGGTTTGGTCTGCTTGATTCGTATATAAACCCAGTATGTTTGAAATACACGATTCATATTGCGGAGGCTGCGGTTGGAATTCCGGGCTTAAATGGCTGAGCTAGGCGGAAAGCAGGACCAATCAGGACTCTAGGCTGCTCATACGGGTTTATGTGTCATTTATCCGATCGATAAGTCACTGCTCTCTAATCGGCGGTCGCAAAATATAACAACTTTAAACGTTAAAATGAAAATGAGCTTAATTAAGCGCTTGTTGAACACCAATAATAAAATCAAGCCATCTCACTTGTTCAGTAGTAAAATTTTCTTCCTCCAAATCTGTTGTCGTACAAGTCTGTTTCCCATATAGACAAACAGTAAATTATCTCTTAATGAAATGTTTATATAAATGTGTAACATCGGATACCAACTCAGTGGTTCAATAGCTATAAGCTTACAGCGAGACCTGAGGAACGTACGTTTTTTCTCCCTAAAATTTGTAGGTACGGATTGCTGATGTACCTCATAATAGAAATAAACTTCTGTTCGGTACTTCTTGAGCCTTAATGGTAACTTAACGAATGTCAAACCATGATAAATATCACTTCCAAATTAAATTAACTTCTATAAAACTCCATCACAAAGATACACATGTAGCCTAAATTTTTTTCAGTATCATTTAAAACCGTTTTAAAAGGTAATTGAACTGGTTGCCTTATTTAATTCATCTATGAATTTCTTTTATATTGATTCTTGAATAGGGTTTGCCTGGACCACCGGGAGAGTTTAAAACTGACTATACATCATTGTTTAGTCGTAGAAGAGATTCAGATGTTGGAATGATGGTAAGGTTGAAAAGTTAATTGGTAATATATTTAACAGATATTTACTGAATACAATAAAAATGCATGCATATAGCGTTTTTGCTAGTAGGATAGTTTACGGACGTTTTGTATGTTTTTTTTCAATGTGTGAATCATAGTACAGTTTTGTTCAAGTTTAAACAGTTTTGTAAAGTGGTTTTGGAAATAGATTCATTTATGAAGTACTGACACCTACTAGAAATCCATTGCAGACCAGAGGAAACTGAATAGCTATTTTTTTCCCAGATTTTAGACTGTTTAACAAGATATCCTCGTAGCTTGACATGGGATCAAACTTAAGATTTTCGAATTTTGATTCTTAGTAGCTTAGTGAAAATGCATGGCTGTTAAAAATCAGCTAGGTTATTAATGAAACAAATATCGTCAGAAACTATCATGCTGTATATCTAATAAAGTCACTCAATTCCACCTAAGTTATAAAAATCGTCGACTTTGGGCCAGCATGGAATCATGTTCAAATAAAGATGGTGAATTCTAAAGCCATTCAATACTTCCTGGTTTCAAACAAATCTTCAGTTAATGTCAATACATAGATAAACTGTTATCAGATTAACAAGATTTTGTCACATTATTTAGATTTGAGTAGGCTGTGAAATTATGGACTCGTGTTGCATCCTATTTAAAACTCCTCAGATGTATCTACTTCCAACACATTGAGATATGATCAACTCAGTGTAACCTAAAACATAGTAGTTATTGCTTCAAACTCGTAACTCTCAATCAGGGAAACAACTCATTCATGTTTTGTCATTTCGAGTTGACAAACAAATTACTAAGGTATTCATGTATACAAAACAAAATGAAATGAAAATTTAGTTTAATTAATTCTCTCCATCATGTCAACAAGTATATATTGAAAAATAATAATAAACGGAAAATCTTTGGACTTAATTACATTTCAAACCGGCTTCATAAAAGATTGAACTCATTCTAAATAAATTAACAGTTTTAGCAAACCTTACAGATAACTATTGTCGTTAGAGTCATATTCAATTTCGAAGTATTCTATCATCAGTCTGTCTATTATAAGGCTTTTTGTTGATAAAATTGGCCTTAAAATTGATTAGAAAGAACTAACGAAGTTGATGCAAGATCATTACAGAAACGATAAGAACAGAAACAAGGAAGGAATATTTTAAAAAAAGTAAATAAAAATGTAAATGAAAATAAAACCATGAAAATGAAAGGGATTGTACATAACGTTTCAGTATATACGGATCTGCTTCTTTGATTGCGTATAGCTACAGTATCTATAATTTAAAGGAGATAAAAATACACACTTTTCTGTTGATTGAGTCTGATCCTATATATTGTATAGAATGGAAAGTTGGGTACTATATGGCCAGTCATTTATAGTGTAATAAACGATTTTATAGTTGTAAATAGTATGTTGAATTATGTAAAGAAGTGATTGTTAGCTTACTAGTATAGGGGTTGTGGAGATTGTTAAGTTTTTGATTGAGATCATGAACCGATTGATGTTAGGCCACCACAATTAAAAACCTGGAAGCACTGGACGGCCGTTTCGCCCCGCTGTGGGACTCCCCAGTGGCGCGCATCCACGATCCCACTCGCGGGATTCGAGCCCAAGGCCTTCGGTCTCGCGCGCGAACGCCTAACCAACTGGACCACTGAGCCGGCATCCAATGGTGATCGTTTCTAACATCAACCAATCCACGAAATTGCGCGACCAATTTCCGTTGTACTGAGGTAGATACCTGTCTCTAACCGAGAAGGATTAGCTCCACTGGTCACGGCTTCCCACTAGAACTCCGAGAATTCCCTCACGAAGCTAGTCACTAGTAAGCACATGTTGATTACTAGTATAGGGGTTGTGGAGATTGTTAGCTTATCTGAAAATGTTCCGCGTTGGATGATCTATATAGCTAACTTTATAAAAGCAGGTGAATAAGTATGTGCACATTGAGATAATTTGTCAAAGTAGATTATCCTTCACTCAGGAACAAACCAATAAGTATTTAGTGAGAATTATAATTCGAAAATTTAGTATTCAGTTTTGCATTTTCTTATCTTTTGATAGTTTCTCTCTTGCCTCGTTTTTTATTATTGTACCTGTCTGAAATAAAAACAAACAAAAAACATGAACTCATTTAGCAAGCAGATGAACCCCGTAATAGAGGAAGGAGAATACGCCGTTCATATGAATGGAGTGATGAAGATTATGACCCAAGCAAAGAAACTGATCCTAATGATGAGGTAAGCGGAAATGACGAATACAAATACTGTTAAGTATTGTTTGGTGTATAATTGTAATCTTGTGCGATTATCATTCTGATAACTTTGAATATGTCTGCATAAGCAGACATTATCACAAGATTCATGGTTCAAGGTTATTTATAATAATTAAGCCAAATACCTATTTGACTAGATAGGTTGTAGAAAGTATTAGACATTGAAAGAAGGAATGTGGTTCATTAGCGCATACCTGTAAGTTTTATTCTGCTTTCTTCTACATACACGTGATGTATTTCACCATGAAAATAATACTAAGTTTCATACTGCCTTGTTCTTTAGTTGTTCTACTTTAAAAATCATATGATTCATGAGGTAAATAAATATCCCTTTCCTGTACTTTTAAAGGAGGTTGCGGGCTCATTGTTAACCTGCTTAATAATCAAAGCAGATTAGCGGGAAAATGTGAACATTATAAGAAACTCATACTAGCTAAAAGATGCATACTATCACTCTTAAAAACATTTAACAATGGAAAAAGCTCTATATAACCTAGCTCTCTACTCATGTTTAAATCTGCGATTGATACTTAGGTCTCTAAAACAACATTTGATGTACTTTGCTAGCCAATAGACATAAGATTCTCTGCCGTAAACTATATCTTGGCTATTAAATGATCACAATCTAGTACAAAACAATTACATAATACCAGAAATTTTCAATGGCTTTTTCCACAACACTCATTAACAGTAGAGAATATCTTCAAAGTTTGCCTCCTACCTTCACAATAATCTTCAATAGGATAATTTCATGATATTCAAATGCTATTTAGTCTTAATAAAGTCGATTACTTTCACATCTTCCATTACACAATTTTGATTTTTCTTTGTTTTAAACACCATTTTCCAACTAAAAATAAGGAGGAAGATATTTTTGAAGCATTGCGTCAAGTTGGAAGACTTGTGAATAGTTTGAATAGTGGGAGTGGAACACAATTCAATCCTGCACGAACATGTCATGATTTAAAAAGAGATCATCCAGAGAAAAAAGACGGTTAGTTGATATATATTTTTCGCCTATTTAAAAGAATCCACTACCAGTTTCTTTATAGTTCACGAAAACAATAATTTATTAGCAGTAATAACTGTTATTCCGTTTTGCATTCGATATTGAAGCAATGGTCTTTTTGGAAAAATATATAATTAAGCAAATGTGCTTTTTGTTAAGTTTAATGGTGATGGAGCTTCTAATCTTCTGGTAGTTACAATTGCCAACATAACTTCAGAAAAACTGACGACACGGGAATTTTTCGATTTAGTCTAATTTGTTGCTGATTGATTGAAATCTTTTATTTTATTCTCGAATATATATGACTGTCTCTTGTTTGACTGATGTCAAAAGTTACTCAACTTATGAGTTTAAGGCACAATATCTATTATGTTCATGTTTATTAAAATTACATTACATACAATGACTAGTTCATCAGTCAAATCTCTCTTATTAGCAACCTTATCTGATAAGATAAGAATCTTTCATATTCATTTAACGGGCTACAAATATTTGGAATTATCCGTAAAATTAATTATCACTGACTGATCCATTTCTCAGTGTTTGTGAGTGTCTTTTATTTCATGTTCATTTCGGTAACTGATTCGACTATTGATTGACTGGAGCAGAAAATACTTTTTGTTCTTAAACAGCAATAAAAGTCTGGAATTAGTCACCAGAAAAAGAAAATGACAAAATCAGTCGTTATTTTAGTCATTTGTGTTAACCTGATAATTAATTCAACAGAAGACAATGCAAACAGGTGATTTTTAAGGAATATGACGTAAAAAAGATATTTAAAATTTTTTTAGTTGGTATTAGTGTAATGTAACACTTGGTACTAGGGTATGTCATGTTGCCTAGTCCCTATTTCTGATCGGATTCCATGGATTAAGTTTCAAGATGACCACTAGTCAGGGTAACTTGATGTAGAACGCACCATATCTTACCGTTAATAAACTGAGGTTAAATGTTTCTGGTTGACTATGTTCAATCAAACAACAAGTTAATCCAAATTTATTTGTAATCGAAATCTAAAACTTTATTATGATTAAAGTGACAGTACTATTGAGTTTTTGATTAGTCTAATTCTGTACTAAATAATTTCTATCATAAGCTAACATCGGGTAGAGAACTAGTAGAGATAAGGAAGCATTCGACAGCTACTTCATTCTAGTCTAGGACCGCTCAACAGTGTACACCTAAGATGTTGTATATGATTAAATCTAGAACCCATATATTCCAAGCCCAGCACAAAACTGAGTCATTTAGATGGAGTTTTTTCCTCTGAGCTGGCTGGTTTAGTCATGTAGCTTTCATCGTTCTTCTGAACGACATCATCAGCACAAAATTCAGGTAGAACTGAAGTGTTTGAATTTATCCACATGTGGTTCACAACTGGTTCTGTAGACCTCTATGTTGATTAGTTCTTGTTGACCTTAAACCTGTCCTTGTTTACTTCTTTGTTTTGGTAGTATCTGCCATTGATTCGATTTTTGTTCCTATGTTTGTGCATAATTTTCCTGATTGGTCAACAGGACAAGCTGTGAACCGCCTGTGGATAAATTCGAACACTTCACTTCTACCTGAAGTTTGTGCTGATGATGTCGTCCAGGAGAACGATGAAAGCTCCACGACCAAACCATCTAGCGTAGAGAACAAAACTCCATCAAAATCATCCACCTGAGCTATAAATCTTCTCCATCATCTCAAAATCAGCTGAGCTATTTGTTCAAAACTTCTAAATTCAGATATTTTAAAAAAATTCGCACGATAGACACTTTAAGGTGATACGAAGTGTTGAACTATTCTATTCAATGAATCACCAAAATTTACATATGAATGATTGTTAGCTTAATTCATTATTTTGATGAATTTCTCAAGCTAAACAAGCCAAGTTTGAATCTCAATGAAAATATTTAATGTAACTTCTAATGAATGTACCATTTAGTACATACATTTTATCAGTAATCTTCATGAAGATGTTATGAGTATCACTTGTCCAATCTCGTTATCATAATCACTAATGTTCAAAATCAAGTCTAATGTTAAAACTATAATTTACACTTAATATATTGAAGTTAATTAACTTATTCAAGTTTTCAGTTTTTATTCATTAACAAATACTACTTATATATATGTATATAATTTATCTTAGAATTCTTTTTTCAAATAGGTATGTATTATGTTGATCCAAATGGTGGTCATTGGAGAGATGGAATTAGTGTTTATTGTCGTTTAAGCGGTTTAGAAACTTGTGTTAGTCCTATTACAGAACAAATGTCATCAATTTATTTATCACAAACTAAACAAAAACGTTTATGGTATTCGGAATTTTTAATGAAAACAGAAAATGCTGTAAGTTTGTTTTTGTTTTGTTTGTTTTAATAAAATATCAAGTTTGTTTACTTTTCCTTTGTATAATTTTCATTTAGCCAACTGAGTTGATATTTTCATTATGATTGTTTTGTTTAAAATATTATAATCACTGATTGATTTGAAATGTAAACGAAATAGGAACCTTTTGTTGTTGTTCTTGTCGTCGATGTTGTCGTTGTTGTTAAAATGTTTAACAACAAACACATGATATTATTCAAATATTAAATTTATAGTAAATATACAAAACTTTTAATAAGCATCTAGATCATTTATTGTAGAATATAAAATTTACTAGTGAAACAGTATTTGAAGCTTAATGAAACTTTAAAGCCCTACCGTTGTTGCTACCTTGACGTGGTGGTCGGGCTTGCCTATCATGATGAATCAACCGAGCTATACTGGATGGAACAACCGTTCCTCAAGGTCCTACCATGTCAGACAGGTCGGTTGAAGAGTGGTAAGACTATAAGCAACAAACTCAAGGTCCGAAGGCGAAGTCGTACTTCTGACTGTACAGAGGTGTGACAGCAGTAAGGTGTTTCCTTCAAACAACCAGCATGACAGCGATGCTGCCTTCCCACAAGGAGGGGTGGGGCTAGACAAGGTCGACCCTAAAATGCACACCTCACCTTATCCCACGGATATCCGTCTCCGGCAGTAAGGTCTCAACAAGTACGGAGCTAACACAAAAATTACCCATAAAATGTCGTGTATGACCGGCCTCAAGTGGTTGTGCCCTGGGCACTGCGGTCAAGCTCTCAGGTCACTAAGACCACCTCTAAACCAATTTCCTTTTCAGGCACCTCCAGAAACTTCAAAGGGTAAGAATGTATTTGAAAAATCTTAGCGAAAGAATTTAAAGTAAATTCGTTTCACCTAGTAATCTGGTTCAAGCTTTTTCAAATTCTTTCGCTGAGATTTTACAAATACATTCTTACTCTTTAATGTCTCATTTTGATTCGATGCCTAAATACTGTGAAACTATTTGATCAAATTTAGACGAAAGTTATTATTTAATGGGAGTTCATACTATTTAACTGATATTTTGTATGTATTAATTGTGTTTTACTTGTTCTATACTGTTTTCATAATGATCATTGAATTTAATTTACTTAGTTCAAATATTTAACCACTTATTGAGAAGGAAAATTCAATATACAATACAATACAATATTACAAAGTATTTTGGTTAAATGTAAAAGCCATACGCTGAATATTATAAGCAAAGATGGATGGTGGCTAGCAGTAGAATCCAGGACGCGCGTTTCGTCCTGTCTGGAACTCGTCAGTTGGATGTATCTGCATCTTCGAGTTGATATTCACTCTGGGACTTGAACCTAGTACCGTTCGCATAAAACACCACTACGTTATCCACTTAACTACTGAGTCCTGGTGTCTACTTGCTTGTGCAATGAGATGAAGCTTAAATTCACTTGGCATTGTTCACTTGAATCTTCCCATTGATGTTTATGACTGCAGTTGATCAGTCTCTCATTAGCATATATGCATCCTGTGCGTATTGCCTCACAAGCATTGTAGGCAAAGATTTTCACACTAAATACTTTATTTGTAAATTTCCATCATTCATCCTTCACACTCTGCATGATTCTTCAGGTTGATAATTCCATTCTATTTTGTTCAACTTGATCTTCTTAACCTTCTGGCTGCCAGGTTTTACAATTCCGACCGGTGTTACATACTACTTATACCAGTCGATTTAAGCAGCATACATCACACTAGCATCGTTTCAGGTTGCCCTACTGTAATTAACTCATTTATTAAGTGCATGTACCTGGCCCTTTGAGAAATTCAATTTTTGTTATGGCTGGTGATGCCAGTCTACTGCATAGGCTGCAATTAATAGGGAGGTGATTGAACCTAATATTCTAAACATTAACCCCCAGTTCGATTGTATACTGTTATAATAACTATAAATGATATCGTTGTAGCAAAAATTATGGTGATTTATACTCTGATGATTGATAGCAAATGTTGATCGTAACACGTTTCAAATACACGAACCTATCTTTTTATGGTAGATCAGGCCAAATTTAATCATCAACCTTTCTGTGTATCTTTACTAGATATATATTTGATTTACCAGACGTATTAATTTGTAAGGTATCTTCTCAGTTCTTAATAAGTCAGTACTTTTCTAATCAGCAATAATTTAGACAATTCTAAATGGCACAATAGATCGTATTTAGTATTTTGGACAGCCAAATGACAGTGAATGTAAGTAAATACCTATTAAATCGTGAACCATATGGACAAGACAATAATTTTACATGGTGACTGTTAAAATATTTAAGTGTATAAGGGATAAAATGAATGAGATGTATTAACGCTTTGTATATGGTCTTGGACAGATGGTGTTCATCATAGTAATGAGTTACTGAAACTATTGGTGTGTTCGAAGCTTTTCATTCTGTGAATTTAACAGATAATCTAAGAATATGGTTGGTGATTATAGTCGTTTACACAAGTATGACTATTACTTCAAGAGATTGTTTGTCGATCTATGCCGATTACTAGAGTTTTCTGTTGACTATTTTTAATAATCTCATAGAGTATATTATTTTCCGACATGCAAAGTGGTTACTGAGGGAGCTACGTGATATGGATTGAAAATAAAATAGTAGAAATTTACTGGTAAATGGAAACCAATTTTTATATATTGATTGTTTGGAACTTTCCATGAATGTTTAGGACTGTAATTGATCAGTCTCTTATGGTGCATACACATCTTGTAAGAACTGCCTTTGTATTGCTATTAGGTCACAAACATTTTTAGCAGAGATGGACGGTGGTTAGTAGTGGAACCTTGGATGCGCTTTACGTCCTATTTGGAGCTCATCAGCCAGATTCGCCTGCTTCCTATAGTTGATGTTCACTCCAGTACACGAATACAGTACCTTTCTCGCGTTAACCACTTAGGGTCTTAGAGTAACGATCAATTCTGAGATTCAGGTACACCCAGCTGATGAATCTCAAAGAGGAAGAAACGTGCGTCCTGGATTCCACTGCTAACCACCATCAATCTCTGGAAATGGAAACTATTTGCTTGGTCACGCCAACATATTAATATAATATTTGTAATCTAGGAGAATATTCCCTGTTACGTTTCTTCATTTAGGCAAGATTTTTGTTGCTTTAAAAACTTATAATGTTTTGCTGAGTGACATTACTGATAGTGAAATTTAGTCGTGTTCGGTACTTTATACTCAAAGATTTAATGATCTGGATTTTGTTGTTTTTATAGACAATATTTTCAACGCCTAACCCTGTTAGAATCGTCATATTCAAACCCACTGGTTCGGAAGACCCAAAACTTTTAAGTTTGATTTCCAGAGGGATAGTAGGTGCCCGCTGTTGTATGAGCTCATATTACAACAAGAATTCTCTCTAAAACTGTCTAGTTGTCAATAACCATTCCAATTAATAACACTTCATGATGAAAACCAACTTTTAATATCATATTTTAAATTCTGCAGGTAAATAACTATAGTTTGTGAATAAACAAATTAAACGGAATAAACCCGTAGAGTCATAAAATAATATTGATAACGAAATTGTTCACCTTTTAAACATTTCAACTTTACTTCAGAAATAACACATATACAACTTTAATAGTTGAGTTCATGAGTCGATGTAAGCTAGACTACCATTGAAAACCTGGACGCGCTAGACGGATGTTTCGTTCTGGTATGGAACTAATCAGAAGTGAGCCTCTACGACCCAGCATACGGAACTCAAACGCAAGACCTTCGGTCTCTCGTGCGAATGCTTAACCTCTAGATCACTGAGCCGGCACCCAACGTACACAATTATTATTCGATCGATTTCGCCATAAACTTTCATTTAAATTAGTTGTTTTTATATTTGTTATTCTTTTTTTTCATTCCATACAAAAACAAAATGAACATTCAGCAAATAGAGTATAATATACCAAAGGATCAATTAGTTTTTCTTCAAATGTCGAGTGAAGTAGCTATACAACGATTAAAAGTGAATTGTCGAAATATACAAAATATATTAGAAATTATATCTTTGTTAAGTGATAATAATGTGTTGATTGAATTCAATGAAACTATACAATTATTTTCTATTGAAATAGAAGAAAATACATGTGGGGTAAGATTTATTGTTTTGTATAATATTTTGATAATATTATTGCTTAATATTTATTCATATCAGAATGGGGGTTTGTGGAGATTGATGAATTCATGAGTTGATTTAAGCTAGACCACCATGGAAAATTTGAAAGCACGGGATGGCTGTTTCATCCTAGTATTGGACTACTCATCATTCCCGGATTCGATTCTCGTATGTGGGACCGAAGATGCGTACTACTGAGGAGTTCCATACTAGGACGAAACAACCATTCAGTGCTTTCAAGTTTTCCATGATGGTCTAGTTTAAATCAACTCATGAATCCAACTATAAAATTTATCAGTACGTTTGAAGAGTGAATATTTATGTCTTTATATGCATAAATGACTAATTGATCAATTGGAATGTGGTATATTTACATTTTGTCGGTGAAATTGATGGATGAGCTAAGAATGTGAATAAAATGTGTTTTAAAGGAAAAAATAAGATTGCCAGCACGGATGACTGTATTCACTATTCACTGAAAGGGTAATACTAATTAATGTTACTAAATAGCTCTTTGGAATGTTATTAAGTTTAATACCATCATGAACTAAAAGAAATGAGAACACATGCTATTATTATTATTATCAATGGGTGTAATTTAATTTTCATGATTAGTGTTGTTAAATCTACAAGCTTCAATTTTCCTTCTTTCATTACTTGTGATATATAATTAAAATGAATTATACATATGTATCGGATAGTCATACAGTTATTTTATTCACTAAATAATAAATCAGAGATCAGTGTTAATGTTCTATTATAATCTCTAATTCTGAAATCTAAACTAATTATTACATAAGGAGATATTAAGCTGAAATTTGTCAGCATGATTTTATACGGTATTTAGTTTCCTACATTTATAACACTATCTAAGTGATATCTTTGGTGATTCAAAAGTTTTGTAAACATTAGTTTAAATGATTTTTGTCATAGAATGACATTAATCGAGGTACCGTTGAAAACTGGTAAGCACTGTACTGGTGGTTCCTCCTAACCCTAACATTTATCTTTCATTAATGAATTACTACTTCACTTTCAACTTGATTAGTTCCAAAGGTCATTGGTACTAACTTGAATTTTCAGAAATCTTTATCAAAGCTAATCACTAGTGTGCACAAAATTCAGTCAGCCAGTCAGTTACGACGTAGGACTAGGTACGTACATGCACCGGTCGAAGTTGCCATACCTCAATAACACAAGATGAACATCGGATTCAGAGAAGTAGTTGATTCAGTGTTGATAATATATAAAAGAAAGATTGAATATAAGGACATAGTAAAGGAAGAATGAGTTCGTGGAAAGAAAAATATGAAGCGACTTTAATCTCATAGTTTAAGGGAAGACAAAGAGTGTATACACCTACGCCACCTAATCACGAGGACCCCAACCAAGTAGTCTGCACATACCAACATGGCTCATACTAGACGTTAGTGACTTTAAGCACTAATGCTACGTTTTGGTTTGGTCACCCATAACTTTCTTCCAACTATCCCCAACACTAATCAGCATTGCACATCGTGGTAATCAGTGTTCATAATAATTATTATCTAATACTATTTGATTTTAATAGTTCATAGTGAAAATTAATTCCAACTCATTGTTATGTATATCAATCAAAAGGATCTTTCTATGATATTAGTTGTAATCTAAGAAATAAAATCTTATACTTAGTTATTTATAAATCATGTGAATTGACAGATTTTTCTAGATAAAAGTAACTATGTGCATAGAGTCAAACTATTAGATAAAAAAGAGAAAACTTATCCATCAATTCAATAAAGATGATAAGTATGTATATACTTAATTAAATCATGAATAAAAATGGTCAGGTAGAACCGGAATTAAAATGATCATTTTCATTATTGATTTAAAATTAATCAATATAATATACTCAAATAAATAAATATTACACCATTACAAATGAGCATAGGATAGTGATGCAAGAATTTCATAAGTAGTAGCCTTTCAATCAATTATTTTTCTTACAAGATACTTATTATCATATATATATTTATTGATTTGCGAACAAAATATAAACGTATGTATATTAGGTTTATTATTACAAATAAATTTATTTATCAAAAACTGATGGTCGTTGACGCCTAAAAATAAATAGTTAATTAAAAAAATCTCTAAACAATGATTTTAACTTAATTCTTATAAGTAATTTTAATAGTTGAGATCATGAATCAATTGAAGCTAGACCATCATGGAAAACCTGGAAGCACTGGACAGCCATTCTGTCCTATTATGGAACTCTTCAGCATTGAGCATCCACCATCCCGCCTTGCGGGACTCGAACACAAGACATATCAGTTTCGTGAGCGAGCGCTTAACCACTAGACCACTGAGTAGGCATCTAAAGGTGTTAATGTCTAACTTCAACTAATCCACCAAATTGAGTGACGTATCTACCATTGTCATCAGTGAGTTATTATCTCACAACTGACTCGGTTGAACTCCATTGGTCACTGCTTATCACCAAAACTCCAGGATATACATATTGAAGCCAATCACTAGTGAGCATATGTTGATTAGTATCTGAAGGGTTTTTGTGGAGATTGTAGTAATTTCTATAGTTAAGATCATGAGTCGATTGAAGCTAGACCACCATGGAAAACCTGGAAGCACTGGACGGACGTTTCGTCCTATTATAGGACTCCTTATAAATAATTTACAACATGGTATGTTAATAAACAATCTTGTTTTTCTCATTATTAAGTGATATATTTCAATGTAATTAGTATCACTATGGAACAATAATAATTTCTATCCTATACGGTATATATTTTATTCAATTCATACTTTGACCATTTCTCTGTATATGATTGATTACACTTGTTGTATACATGTTGTTTCATAATGCCGTTTGTGTGTAACTAGTAACTTTAATGATCTGAAAACTTATTTATTACTTAAATAACGAACCGCCATCGTTTGATGAGTTATTGACAACCTGAAAGAACTGAATAACTGTTTCATCTTGTTTTGAGATTGTTCCATAGTAAATACCCGCAACCCATCACTTACTCGAAAACAGAAATTTCGGATTTCGTAATATATCACGAATAGCATCTAATGTTACCAATAAATGAATGCCTCAGTTTCAGTTTGATCGACTGGTCGGATGAATTGTATCTCACTCAATAAGACAACTAAAGTTTTGAAAGGAACCTCAACTGAAACCATAAGTGTATACTGTTAGGTAGTCCTAGATGAGAACTATGTTTAAATTAAATAAACATCTATACACCACGTAAGAAAATAATTAATGTTACTTGTAGCCATTCATAATAGTTTAGATCCCCAACAATGTACTTACTAATTATTTTAAACTGTTACAAATGTTACTTGGTTGTTTACAGACAATATAGTATAAACATAAATAAACGAATTTATAAAGATAATAATCAATTAGGAACTCTGTAGACTCGAGTAACATTTTTCAGAGTCCGTGATTTATTGTTTTATTTCTAGTTGGAATTAGCATTATTAGTAAAAATTAATACGACACTAATAACAAGTAATGAAATCAGATGTTTACAAGAATTAAATACTATTAAAATTAAAGAAAACATTGCTAAAAGTAGATATACACTTAAACTAAATATTCCGTGCTAATGTTAATCGATGTATAAAATTGAGTTTTTAATTTGCAAATTTTCACTGATGCTGACGCTTAGATCAATGTTTCCAAGACTAGCCATGAAAACTCAAAGTTAGATAGGGAATAAAAAAATCAGATGAAATATTCCAATCATGGATTGTAAATATTGATCATTACTACTGATAAGCTTCCATAACATTTTCGATCTTGATCTTATTTCTCTAATTTGATTGGAAATTATCTCTGAACATTGATTATCGGTGGTTTTCTGATTCAATAACTAATACTTTCATTAAGACAAATTCCACATTGGATGTATAATTAACTGTTACTTATAAAACTGTGTTAAAGCTTGCTTTGTGATACATTCTGATGATTTTCGCAATATATGTCCTATCCATCTCAAACGTCTTTTCCTAATATACTCCTCCGCTGGAAGCAGGTTTGTTCTCTCCTACAGTAGGTCGTTGCTGATGGTATCCGGTCAGTGAACATTCAGTCTCTTGTGCAGACAATTGTTTAAAAACACTTGTACTTTATAGGCGATGTTTGTTGTAGTTCTCCAAGTTTCAGCTCCTTACATTAGAATTGTCTTGACGTTTGTACTGAAGGTTATGACTTTGATGATGGCCGGCAATAGTTTTGAGTTCCATGTGTTATTCAACTGTAGGAATCCTGTCCTTACTTTTCCGATCCTTTGCTTCACATCTGCATCACATACTCTACGTTCATCGATGATGCCACCAAGGTAAGTGAAACTTTCCACCTCTTCCAAAGTTTCCCGATCAAGTGTGATTGGTATGGTGTTCTCCGTATTGTATTTGAGGATGTCGCTTTTCCGTCGTGTATGTTGAGGCCTACTGATGCAGAGGTTACTGTTACACCGTTTGTCTTCACCTGTATTTGTTGGTGTGTATGGGATGGAAGAGCTAAATCATCTGCAAAGTTCGAATCGTCTACTTACATCCAACCTGTCCATTGTATTCAGTGCTTCCCTTCATATGTCGACGTCTTCATAATCCAGTCAACTACCAGAAGAAATAGGGAAGGAGAGAGTAAGCATCCTTGTTTGACACTGGTCCTCACTTGGAATGTATCTGTCAGCTGTCCTCTATGCACCACTTTGCACCGTAGTCCGTCGTATGAATTCCGTAGTGTCGAGATTGAATACTTACCGAATGCAGTCTGTTGATTCCGAAGCTAGGTATTTGCTGAATCTTTCATCCAGGAAAATAACACTCCGTTGAAAGCTTTTCCGTGTATTGGTAGTAGTGTGATGCCTCTGTAGTTCTCAAACTTGCTCATATCTCATTTCTTCGGTATCTTGGTGAGATATCCTTCTTTCCAGTCTGTCAGTGGCACTTATTCTCCCTACCAAATCTTCTTAATTAGAATATGGAGCACCTTTACAGCTAACTCTTTGTCTTTCATTAGTGCTTCAGCTGCTATGTTGTCTGATCGTGTTGCTTTCCTACTGTTGATTTGTCTGATAGCCAACCTGATTTCTTCGATCGTTGATGGAGTGACAACTATAGGAATATCTATATGAATATTCGTCAAGATTAGAACGAACAGTTTGACAGAAACTGGGCGCCGAGTATAGAGAAGTCATTATATGTGAAAATTATATTTGATTATTAACCTGAAGACGTCCAGACAAGTTAGCTGGACGAAACGTTGGAATAAGTTAAATTTCAATATATATATAATAATTTCAAATATAATTTTCACATACTGTTTCAACGTCCGGTGGGTTTGGACGGCTGGTCTATCCAAGCGCTCCAAAATGCCCTATCCACCTATTCCGTTGCTCTTGAATCTCAGTGATTGGTTTCCCTTCCTCTTTTCTGACTGGTCTCTCTAGTTTACCATATTTCCCTACTAGCTTCTTTGTTATGTTGCATAGTTGTCTCATGTTCCCTTCTCTTTCATCTTTTCCCACTGTCATTGTCGGGTCTTCCACTTATTTCCACTTGTCGGTTCTAATGCTCCTCTTCACTCGTGTGTTTGCTTCTGTGCATTCGGGTTATGTCTTGATTTTCTCTGCTATTGTTCGACTGTTGTCAATCGCTACCTTCTTGTTATTCCTTTCTCTAATCCTGTCCAGAGTATCGGTAGAGATGCATTCCTTGTGATGATACTTCTTGAGGCTCAGCAACTCCTGACACGTTGAAGTTAGTGTTTGTTTAATCCTTCTCCAGATGATCAAAAAGAGTGGTTTCCTTGAGTAGATCTTGTAAGGCTTGTAATTTGTCACTGAGAACTATTTTGAATTCGCTGAGTCTGTTAGTACTCCTGAAACGGAATACTGTTTCTTTTTTAATTTATTAGTACCCTACTCCTTACTTATCCATGTTGATTTTTAATACTTAGTGACATGAAAACTACTTTCTTTAGACTTTGTTTTTCTTCAATTTATGTATTAGCTTGCAAAAAAAGACACTTGAATTATTGATTTTCCTCTAATTCTATATTCAATTATTAGCAAAAACAAAGTGGAAGTCTTCTTCTTACTGTACGTACAAAACAACCATCTTTATTACCAATTCGAGATATTCGAATAACAACTAATGGATTATATGATTCTGAATTATCTCTAGAAGTTGGTACAATTTGTTATGGTGGTATGGATCCTGAACAATTCAATATAACAGATATTGATAATAATAATAGTAATAATAGTAATAAAGAAGATTCAAATCACAATATTTATGATCATATTGAGCATAAATCAAATTTTCAAGTGAAAAAGTCCAATTTCAACGAAATGAATAATAATAATAATAATAATATTAGACTTGTATCTGAATCATTTTAATTTAACACTTACTATGGTTATTATTAATATTAAGGGAGGAGGTAGGGGTGGTGGAAGATTTATATACTTTTAAAGTAATATAATGATAAACCAACAATTACCATGGCAATATAATCAATGCTTTATCTTTAATCAAGAAATATTTGTAAATCTATTTCAAAAATAAAAATGCAATAAGAATATGAAAAAAAAAGTATATTTTATACATGAATTTTATTAGATTTTATTTCATTTCTATTTTATTGGAAGAAAGATTGGGTTTTCATAGTGTTTCAAGTTAGTTTTCATTATATTTTATCTTTAAACTCATTCATAAAAGAATGAATATTGTATGTCATTGAATGTCTAATAGAATATATGATACAATAATCAGTCAATCAATATTTTTTAACTGATAAATTAATCAATATTACTTCGAATAGTTGTCAGTTAATTAATTTTTATCACTACATTTCCCAATCGGAAAACGTCCTCATTTTTTTTTTATGATGATGATGATGATTGTTGTTTGGCTTTGATGTTTGTGTATATGTTTGAAATAATCAATGATTTGAAAGACAATTTTTCATAATAAATTGATATAATTAGGATATCAAATGGAAACAGATTGTTCAGTATGTAAATTTAATCATCTACTGCAATTTACAATGAGTAGATTGAATGACAGATATGATCAGAGTAGAACCTATCACATGTGTACATTGAACCGATTTGATATACAGAAATCGAAATGAAATCGACAAGCTGAATAAGAAGTCAAGGTAACAGTAGTATCAGAAAGACTAAGCAAATAAGTTACGATTCGAAAAGGATGAGTGAATTCGAAAAACAAAAACTATAGATTTATACATCAAAAACTACTTACGGAAATGTTGTATACAACTAACCTTAAGTTGTTGTCCCATGAACTTTATAGTTACGTTCGTGGATAAACAAGACCCTCATTAATTTAGTTTTCTTTTCATGATTATTAGGAACAAAGATCCCTCCGTAAAATAACTAAAAAGCGTCAAACTCCAGTACATCCCCCGACACACAAGTTCGCTGTACTCATGTAATATTGTCAACGCATATTTATGTCTTACATCGTTATTGATTGATGATTTGTAGATAGATATGAGTGTTGATAATGAGAGAAATTTGACTTAACAGCTAAGTTAACTTCTTGAAGTGACTAGATTAGACTAAAAAAGACAACAGTAATTAGTGATATTCGGTAGATTATTCAATTGTCATTCGCAATGGTATCCAAAATAGTCTCGACCGATATACAACATAAATCCATTAATCATTAAAATTTTTGTACGATCCATTAGGCTTCACCTAGCGCATTCATGAACATCAATAAAAAAAGGATGAAGACTATTATTTACACGAAATCTATTTTATGTTTTATGGATCTCTTCAAGTGCTTTGAGATCACAGTGACCTTAATTAAGACAATTGTTGTGTACGAACACAAACATAGAGTGAAAAACAGATAAATGTGCACAAATTTGTGTGTGCAAAGACCAGTCTGTTTCGCTAGTTTAAAGAAAATATATTAAAAATGAACTCGTCGAACAAATGATAATGGGGATATGGGGGCTTTTATCACTTGTGAAGATAATATTGATTATAAATTGGGATAGATGAAAACAATTAAAGCAATAATGTATACAAACACACAAAGAAATAGGTGTAATTAAGGTTGTTTTAATAGTATTTATGACTAGAAAATGTTACGTTATGTTATAAAATTAATCTGTCAAGCATCCATGATGTGTTGCAGAGCTATATGGTATGGCACTAGCATTGACGATAATAATAATAGTAATGACAATGAATATGGAGAAGACAGTTCAAAGAACGCTGTTCGGATCAAGTAAAGGATCACGTTGGTGCCGATAGCGAAGAGCTGTCCATACTCCTAGAAGCTGTAAACAAATAAAACATGATGATTAAAACGATGAGCTAATGAAAACAAATATGAGAATTCAATGATTAAGGAATTAACCACACAAATACAATAAGAAGAGGGTCGAGAATCATCGACCTGACATTTTTTGAGAACACCTACATACTCATTTAATTTACATACACCTACTGCCTACTGTTTTCATCGGAGTTCTCCCGTAACTATATTTAAATAAGACAAGCACACACAAACATAACTACTATCCACATATTAGGCCAAATAAAACAAACAGACTTACATATATGGCACTTGACATATTTTACGCATGACCGCCAGCCTGAAACTTTAGAAGTGCGACAAGGGTATATAATTTGAGTTCTCTTTGGATATTTTTGAGCTATTTATGTACTAATCACAAGCTGGAGCTTTACATAATAAATGATGCATTGGTTTCGCAGAAACCATAAAAAGCTAGTAGTCAATTTGAACTTAAGCAAATGGAAATGAAAACAGTGTCATAACTACGTTAAGTCCGCTGGGAACACCGTTCATATAATACTAAAGGGTGGAAACGCATGCTTAAAAAATGTATCAATAATTCAATGAAGTGAAACTTTTATTCATAATTTTCTAACAGCCTCTACATTCAGTAATATTCGTTGACGCTGGAATTAAATGGAAAATCAGAAGTGCTTAGTTTATGAAATGATAATGGAAAGAGTCGCGGGGGATTTTTTAGAAACATTATACTCTGGTGCTGATTCAGATTTACAAGCATGTAAATTTTATTTTCAAACGCTACAAAGTCATGATCCTAAACCTATTGATACGGATATATTTATGGATCTTCCATAATTTTTTTCAGACAGTAATGTTCCGGCTCGCTTAGGTTTATATGACTTCTTTCACTCGTCATCCGACTGCTGTCAAAGACTTTTATCCCTCTGAATCTTTCTAACTGATTTTACATTTGATTGTAGAAGGCCATCCTGCAGTACAGCTATTTTACAATCATGATTACAGCAATAGTTTTCCACCAGTTGTATGTGAACTATATATTATAAGGTTAACTGATTAATATAAATATATATTAAACTAGTAAAAGCACAAAATACCAGTGGCTATAACACAATTACAAACCAAGAACTCACTTCAATAACGCTGAAGAAAAGGCTAGTGGCACCAGTAACTCGGACACCAGTTGATAACCGTTCTTGAATTACAGTCCAACAAGTTGTAGTACATGGGCAAAACGTGTTATTCCCCACATCTGGACCTTGGCAGCATTTAGCAGTTTCACCATCAGGTGTATCGCAGCAAGACAGCTAGAGAAAATAGTGTGGTACTATTAAATCACCTCAAGTCTGATTAAAAACTAGAACTGGATAACCTAGTCTGATATAAGAATAAATATCCTATCAGTCATAGTTGTAATACTTAGAACTAGATTAACAGGATACCGAATAAAAAAATGGTAAAAAGTGCAAAAATATATAACCTAATCAGTAGGTATAGGTTAGAACAAAAACAAACTAACATATCAACTTCGAATCTGAGTCTGAGTTGCTGAACGTCGTAATACAAAACAATCTAGGCCAACAATCTGTACCAAGTTCTGTGTTGTTAATATCTGTCCGTAATAAGAAGCGGTAAATCAGCATAAATAGGACGACAATAAAACGGACGAGAAGCACAGGAGTTGAGAACGGTAAACAAATAACCGGTAGTAAAAAGTTTAGGAATTAAAAGGCGAAAAGTGGGTGAACCTGAGCTATGTCATCTATGGTTTCCAATGATTTCCTCATTTGGAGTACTCGACACAATTTAGACTAACAATCAATGACTTTATGGACTAATGCTATGTTTTAGTCTGATATTACTTAGCTTTCCTCAAGTTTACTACAGCTTTAGACAGTACCTTCGATGACAACTCTGTGTGACTAGAACATGATTTCATTTTTTAAACAGAGAAGCCAAAAATCCAAATACAGTGGGTTGGAGTAAAAGATAAACAATTCCTATTGCAATTCAGAGTTCTACTATTGACTTATACACCTGTAAGGGTGTAGATCAACAGTTTCACCGATTTATTTGTCATTTATTTGAACACAAATATTGGTACGAGGGGGTTCCAGATATATATGCGCCACACAATAACAATGAGAATGGGACGAGAAAAAAGAACGTAAGGCGCGTAGAAGAGGGAATTAAAAATAGAGAACAATGACGACCACATATTAGTCTATGATAGTGTAATAACAATAATAACACTAATAATAATAATAATAATAATAATAATAATAATAATAATAATAATAATAATAATAATAATAATAATAATAATAATAATAATAATAATAATAATGGGGGAAACGGGAATGTACAACCAGAAAGAATTCTTTCAGCAAAGGAGGTTACAACCACTTTTAATGAAGAAAGTGAAAGATTACAGCAGGATTACCACTGGCTTCTATTCCGAGCATAGAGCGAAAATGCCCTCACCGACGCGTTGTAGATCCGACCTTTTACAGCCAGACTAACATCACGAAGACGCCAAAGGTGTCCCAGATTGGCATAAGCCGCTCTGGCTTTCACTAGACGTGCATTGATTTCATCACTCAGGCCACCACCAGCACTTACGCAGCTACTCAGATACACGAACTTCTCGACTACTTCTATCTTCTCACCACCCAGGGTGAGTACGGGATTGGGATCCTGCCAGTCTTGTGGAAGTACTTTGCACTTCGAAGGTGCAAAGCACATACCATACCTACGGACACTGATTGCCAACTGATTAAGTGCGGATTGCATGGCTTGGGCATTATCGCACAGTAAGACAATATCATCCGCATACTCAAGGTCGAGAAGTCTTTCTCCAGGCAGCAGATCTACACCGCCATTACTTACATCCATCAGAGCTGTTTCCAGAATGTCGTCGATGGCAAAGTTGAAGAGGTGTGGTGAGATTGGGCAACCCTGCCTAACCCCAGTGCTTGAATGGAACATTAGAGAGAGGTGGTTGTATGCCCTCACTCTGCCTGAGGTGTTTGCATATAGGGCCCTTAGGATGTTAATAAACTTCTCAGGCACACCCTTCTTCAACAGACAATCCCAAAGAACAGTCATGTTCGACAAGTCGAAAGCAGCCCTGATGTCAAGAAACACTACGATTGTTGGTCTGTGATAAGTATGACGGTGTTGTAACATTTGGCGGAGGGTGAAGATATGATCAATACATCCTCGACCAGAACGAAACCCAGCCTGCTCCTCGCGAGTCAATCTTTCTCCGGTTTTCAACAACCTACGAAGTATGACAGAAGTCAACAGTTCGGACGCAATCGGAAGTAGACTTATCCCCCGATAGTTGTTACAGGAACGACGTGAACCCTTTTTAAAGATAGGGACAACTATCGACTCATTCCATGACGTTGGTACACTCTCTAGCTTCCAAACCTTTTTAAACAACGTCGTCAATTCCCTAA